AGCGAAAACGCATTTTAAAAAAAAAAAAAAAAAAAAAAAAAAAGGGGGGGATACGAAAATTAATCGCAGATTTAAAATACTTCAGCTAAAAGATATGCAAACAAGAAGACGTGGGGAAGGTTTATACGAACTTGGCAAGGAACATCAACATTTCAGGGTGTCGGCGTTCGATCCTCTCATAAAATTGATTTTCTCGGTTGTTAAGTTGTTTACACACTGCTCGTCGCGAAAATCGGAATACCGTAGTGTGGCCGCCGACTTGATGTCGATACGGTTTGAGCTCAACCGCGCCAAGCGGAGCAGGGAGAGGTCGTGAATGGGAGTGTTTACGAAGGTACGTAGTTCCAGAGACTGCCGCAGTCGGAGTTATGGCGGCGTCATCTGTTGAGCTGGACTCGTCCTCTTTCCCCGATAGAGCGCCTTCGTCACCAGAGAGAGATTCAAATTCCGAAGCCGACTCTGTTTCTAACTCTGAAATGGAGGCCAGTGAAAGGTCGTCGTCTTTGGGGCAAGGTGCGGGTGGCTGTCGCAATTCTCCATGGAGAATGCTGCTGTCATCTCTTGACAATAACGATATATCAACATGGTTGGAAGCCTCGATTTCAGATGGTTCTTGGCGGATGGTGGCCCTGCCAGAGACGCCAACTTCTTCGTCCTGCAAGATCTCTCCCTGTGGGTGTTCGTCTCCAGATTCAATCTCCAAGCTAGAGGGTTCGTCAACAGGTCTTTGATGAGGAAAGTATAGCGCCGAAGAAATGCGTTCCATTTCTTCATCTTCGTCTTCATATCCATCAGACGCGTCTCGCGCGAGACTCTGATCTTTTTCAGATCCCCGTTCGTCAGCTGCGCCATCGACTCCAAATGCAAGTTCAATCCCCCTGCTGTATGTTGAAGTCGGGACGCTGCGCGACAGAGTTTCGTATAGGGTGGGTTTGGAAGGTAAAATAGGACATGTTCGAGTTTCCTGCAGCACCTCCGGGGATATGGCTTGTACATTGGTATGAACACGCACAGGAGGTGGTACGATACACTCTTCGGAAGGGGATCCGTGGTGGACGATGCTCACGGGAGTGTGGTCCTTGTGGCGAGGCTTTGCCTGTGGCACTTCTGGTTCGGATCGAAAAGAGCTGAATAGTGGACGACGCTCAGGGCTGGCGGGTCTGGTTGTGGATGCTCCTCTTGGGGTAGACGGTGAAATCGTTTTGTTCGGGGAACGATCTAATTCAGTCCAACGACGTCGTTCCTGACGATCGACAGGCTTATCCTCCCGCTTCTTCCGCTCATGCGTGGTCGTATTTTCCTTGAACAGGCCCAGGTAGTGGCTTGACTTCCGACTTCGAACATTGGAAGCAGGTTCGGCGTTGGCGAGACTAGCTTCGATGGACTTTTCGACGCGAGAAGACCTGCTTTTGCTTGAGCTCCGGTCCGGTCGGTGACTTTTCAGGGAATCGTGGGTGGGCAGGCCAAACTCATGCAATGACCTACGAACGGACGCCGAAGCGCCGCTGTCGTGAGTAAACAGGCTTTCTGAGACGAGCATCTTACCGCCGCTGGTCTCCCATCGGCTATCGGGAGGCTGTGACGACGAGGAAGAGGATTCTGCAAAGGAAGGTCTCGAAGGACGAAGAGGACGGTGGTCCCGGGCTTCTGGGCGGATCAGAGAAAGACTGGTGATATCTCTGGCTTCGGCGGTGGACAGGTCCTTCCTCGCGGGGTTGAGATACGCGGAGAGAGCGCTGACATTCTGCCGGACGGGGAGTGTCTTCACTTTGCGCAGCGGTTTCGGTCTCCCGTCGTGCGAGAGCTGAGGTTGAAGAGGAGAGCGATGGAGATGGTCGTTCTTGCCCTCGGCCACAGCGTCAACGCCCGGTGCCGGAGATGTCACATCGTAGTCGGAGGGCAGGTAGTGCGTGGCGAAGATGCTGTCTCTCTCGGACAATTGTGGGCTCTGGGCTCGATAGGAGGGCGTGGAAGCACGGATCTGCTCTATGGGAGTCGTGGAAGGACGATGTTTCATGGCAGAGGAAGAAGAAACGGAGGCTAGGGAAGGTTTTATTGACGGCGTGCGGGGAGGAGAGGGAGGCATGGATGCGGTAGGGGATGAGGAAGCGTAGCTGGTGGGGCCGGGAGCGAGCGAGTCGGCATCGTCGCCCTGATTGGATTGCTTACTTTCACTCGAATCATAGTGGGCAGACGGCGCAGGTGTCACCAGAGCTCCAGGTGAGGGATTGGCATGAGCGGGAGGGAAGCCTGACATGGGGAGGACATTGGTCGGGCCAGATGAAACAGTCTCAAATACGGTTAAAGTCTGGGATCAGGATGGGGTGGTCAGGTTGGGCAAGGCGCAGAAGGAGTGCAAGAGAGGGAACAGGAATTGGAGCTGAGAGAGGAAGAAATAGGAGCGTGAGGATTAGGAGCGTGCGTTTATGATGGCACTGCGATGGGTAATGATAATTCGTGACGCCGACTAAGCAAGATGGATGATGATGGATGTGGCTAGTGCCGGGCCCAGCTGGCTTGTTATCTAACTAACCTTCTGCGTACGGTCCTGTAAATTCACATCTTCTGCTCCTGTTCCTGTTATACATTCACCGGGGCAAACACCAAAAAAAAAAAAAAAAAAGGAAAAGAAATAATGAAAGAAAAGGGTTAAGAGGGTATAACAGGCTCCAGGGATCAGACTAAAAAAGGCAGCTGGAAGATGGAATATGAGGGCAATGTCTTAATAGTTTTGGCTAAACTAGCTAAAAAAGTGTACTTTGTACTTCGTACGGGGTACAGAGTACGGAGTACAGATGGTACCTAACTAATAATTAGTTACACTGCAAACACTCAATTCCAGCACAAACCTCGTAGGCCTGGGCAGGAATCTTTGAATCTTTGAGAAAAGGCAGATGGCTCAGAGCGTGCAAAATTAATTACAGCAGTGTAATCCAAGCCACAGGGCTGGCTCAGAACGGTGGGTTTCCGTTCCGGCGGCAGGGCAGCGCAACGCAGCGAAAACAACAGCGCAACCTTGGGAGCTCCCCAGCGGCATTATTTTTTTGGGGGGCACCTGGGAGGTTCGGCCAAACAGTTCAGCTTGACCTCTGTGGCGGCTCTGGCAAAGGTTCAGCTTCGCCCGAAGCCAAGTCGACTTAACGCCGTACAACTTTATTGGCCTTCATGATCGATCGCAGACCGGTCACGTTGCGCGCTCACCGGATCCTACAGGCTGAAGGCCGGTCCGTGGCAGAGGGAGGTGCAAGTCATCAACCGGGGTGCACATGGGTGGTTTGCGTGGTGCAAACAGGACGCAGGGATCGCTCCGAAGAACAGAGGAGTTTTACTCTGCATCCTCCTGTCCTGACCACTCCATACGGAGCATGGCAGTGATCATATCTTCTGCGCTGCTTGAAGTTAAGGCCTCTCCGTCGACTCGTGCTTGAGTTTTGAACCTTTCTTGCCCCGGTGACTTTCTGGATACGTCCATTTGCAGGAGGCCCCTTGCTCCGAAGGTCCAGCCCAACTGCCATGCCGCTCGCCTCGTCGGTTTGCTACCGATTCTAAAACCCAAAAAAAAAAAAAAAAAAGAAAAAAAAAAAAAGGAAAAAGAAAAACAAAAAAAGAGATAGATGTTGCACTTCTTGGTGGACGACGACGGCAAAGGAATGAAACCCAGGCAAACGACGGCCGAGGATTCGAAGCTGCAGTTTCAAGCCCTCTGTTTGACCGGCCAAAACCTACATTGTTTACGTGCGCGTTCCCTGTCCGTGCCCTTTCGCTGAAGCTTCCAGTCCACCAATCATCCTAGAACGTGACCGTTTGTGTGGCCACACCGAACCTTGCGGGCCCGATCTGCTAATGCGACGCCCGTCTGCAAACTTCTTCGACAAACACCTGAAACGCACAGTCACACAGCAAATCCTGGCCAGACGTTATTATGTATTTAGCAATTCACTCCCCCCGGAATCCATCCAAACGAGTTTGGTATCGAACGTCTCTCACTCTGGACCTTCGCTGCGCCACAACTGGTACCGACACGGCCGTCCGTTGCCCGGTTTCAGTATCGTGGTCCTTCTGAGCGACACGACTTGACCGGTAAATCGTCCCAGGTCACGGAGAACCACAGGGATCTCTCGAGGGAGTATATTTCTGAGCTTGATTGCTGCCCTAGCCGGTGGGTGTGGGTTTGCGTTGTGGACCTCCTCCGTACAGACCGCCAGTCCAATTTTCTTGTGGATCGCAGCCGTTTGCCCTGGAAAGATTCAATTTCAGCCAACGTCCCGCCCACATGCTGTCGAAGGCTCAATTCTGTTGAGTGTCTATTTTCTGGATGATGCTGGGAACGCTGCCTCTCCGGCTGACATCAACACATTGAAGCAGGATCCCCGAGTCAACAGCCGGATTTGAGCATCATGATGTTTGGTTTGGAAAAATATCCATGACTGATGTGGCCCTAAAGAGGGGAGGCCCCTTTTTTTTCGTCCCACCGGTCGACTCCCAAGATGAGGAACGGATAACTACCCCTTTGGTAGATTAACACAATCACGATCATGATCCTCGAAATTGGAAAGGTTTACACGTTCTCCCGATCAAACCCGCGCTCCTTCATCTCTGGCCCAGACCTAAAATACGCGCTCGCTGCGGAAAGATCAGGCTGAAGCGCCCGCTCATACAACGACACAGGCCTCTTGGGCACGCAAGATACCTCCCCAGCCCCTCTCCTTGGAGGCTAAGCTGGGGTAGGACTGAATCTCCTAGGTCCCATAGGACAATTCTCGCACAGAACGTGGCGCCATGGTGAGGATTTATCGACAATGCAAAGAGCACGGCTTCCCAGTCAGCTACTACGAGAAAAAAAGTATGATGTAGGTAGCTGCATTGCGTGATTTATGTAGGTTCGAAGATTCCTTCGCCTCGGATAACCATTTTGCTCAAAAATAAAAATAAAATAAATAAAAAAAGAAAGGACAAAGCCGTGTGATATTTTGATTTGGGTCTCCTCCCAGGAAAGCAAACTAAGCTTCACACTTCTCTCTAAGTCCGGCTAAATCACAGCCTTCAAATGGCTTTCCTTCCGGTGGTTCCTTTAACCACTTCTGGCCTCTCATACCATCTGTGAGTCCTGGAATAGCATTTTCAACCCAAATATGTCTCTGTGTCTTGCAAATGTCCACACCCAGTCCACCAATACGCTCTGGCCAATCCCCCCACTCTGTCTTTGTGCTTTCTCCCTTCCTTCCACACAAAACGTCCTCGTCTAATGAGCCCAGGTACACCTCCGTGTCCTGTGCTCTGTTGGTATTTTGGTACGCGATGGAACTTCCGCAACTGGAGCAAAACATTCTATGACCAGCTGGGTTTTCTGGGGTTTGAAATGCCTTATAGGCGGGCTGTGAAGACAGTGGTGGGTGAATATTTGCAGTCGGGACCGTGAGGAGCTGCGGTACTAAACTCCCAGTGAATTTACGGCATCGCGTGCATTGGCAGGTTGCGTTCTGTTTGCAATCAACAAGCGGTTCCTTAACATTTTGCGCTTGTGAGACCAAAGCTAGATAACATACCTTGGTTGCGGGCCAGTTCATATCAGGAGTGAAGTGGATCGTGTATCTTATTGCGCCGCACACACATCCTCCTGTGATTGAGGTTGGGCGAGATGAACCAGCCATGTTGTCTTTTGATCCTATTACAGTATGATTGTGTTCATGCCAATGACTCTCTGTGAGTTGTTGATGGGCTTTCATCCAACACCAGCATGCCTACGATGAAGCATATATATATATGCCTGTGCCCTATGGAGTACAGGAGCGCGGTTTGAATACGAGGCACCCAAGCTGATGCTGACAAACACAATGCTACGTCTTGTCTTGTTGAAGTTCATCACAGGTCGTATGATACATTAATTATCTCTGTTATTGGTCTTCGAATAAAGGTCAAAGGCGGGGGTTTCGCAGATTCCGTTTTGATCTTGCGCTCGATACCTGCTAATGTTTGAGAATATCTCATGCAAAACACCACTTTACAGATGTGCACCGCGAATCCCAAACTCATGAGGGTGAAAACTCCACAAATACCATCTTCGCTCCCCGCATTCCGTCTTGCATATGCCGGGGTACAGCTCAGAAATTGGGGAGCTTCACTGGCGCCGACGTCAAAAGTATTTGTAATTATGAGTGTTCTAGAATGCATCTGCTCCGTACCCGTCCTTGAAAGGGCAAATATGGGTCAAGGGAAGCGAAATCGACTCTCGTCAGTCTCTTCAATAAATCCTCCGCCTGGAGTACAGCGGTACGGAGTACCGAGTACAGCGCCCTTTTCTTGGAGGTCGAATTTCGTAGTTGACTTAACAGTTGTCTGCCTAAGTAACCTCTTACAACACCGTCCAATGATCTGGGCATTAAATGTGGCTTGATTAAGTGGCTGGTGCCTCAGGATTTGCCAGCAGACGTGGCTAGGGGGAGTCCCTGATGACCTCACCTCACCCAGGTTCGCTCCCCAAACACCGCCTGTTGAGACACCAGTCTTCCTTTGCAAATGGCCTTTCAAATGACCCTTTTACCTATTACTATTATTTCTTAAGATTTTTTGAAAATGAGGCTTGCCATGGTGTTTTGAGTCCTTTTTTATACTTTTTACGGAATTGCATCTTTCGCGCCTACCGGATGGCATCATCAAGTCGTGACTCAATATCCGAGGCAACGTATCTTCGGGATGGAATGAAGCGGCTATCTTGCTAACACAATATTATCATTCGACGCTTACTTTTCATAAGGGTGTAGGAGAGTGCCAGTCGAAGCTCTAGAAAGGCAAGAGAGTGTTCCGTTGCCATACCCTGAGCTGCAAGAACCCTATTACGACGTCCTCAAAAGGGAGAACACTCACTTATCATGGGCCACGCAAACGGGAGTGGCGGGCGTAGTGGTGGAGCGCACATTGACAAACGGGATTTCGACGCTAACCGCCGTTTGCTCGGCGGTGAGGACGTGGAAAACGGAAGAGCCGCTGGCCAACTGGGCCGATGTTCCAACGAATCGGATGGCTTGTTCTGTGATGTTGTGACTGAGATTGTAAGAAGGGATCGTGAGTTGATGAGGAGGGAGTTAGTGAGAATGGGAAGCTTCGTCTGGGGCGTCTTAACAGCGTATGTCGTCTAGCCCTGTGAGCAGTTATTTTCAGTGCGGTTGTCGCATTATCCATGAAGTGAAAACTGACGTACATGATATCCAGTTCCTGCGCCGGAAGCATCACCGGGTTTTCGGTCTATGGACCGCTCCTCCTTTCTCATCTTCACTATACACAGTTCCGCGTTAATGCCGTCGCTGTGGCCGCAGAGCTGGCGATGTACCTCCCAGTCCCAATCTTTGGCTACCTCTGTGATAGATACTCGCCTGGACCGGTTGCAATATTATCAGCGTTCTTTTTCGGCCCAGGATATCTGCTGGCAGCGTTGACGTACAGATCTGGACCTCCACCAGACGCTGGCGGGTCAGGATGGCCATATTTCATTATGATCCTTGGATTCCTGGGTGTCGGTGCGGGGACTGCCTCGATGTACTTGGCTGCCGTGACCACCTGTGCGAAGAACTTCGCGCGGAGCAAGCATAAGGGATTTATGCTAGCGATGCCCATTGCGGCGTTTGGGCTAAGCGGAATGTGGCAGAGCCAAATCGGAAGGCACCTTCTCTATGAACAGGGCCCGAACGGTGAAAAGGGAGACGTGGATGTGTTCAAATACTTTTTATTTTTAACCATTATGCTCTTCAGCGTTGGGGTCATAGGATTGTTCGCTCTGCGACTTGTTGATGAGGACAAGCTGATCGATGAAGCTGTGGAGGAGCTTGAGCGAAGTGGATACCTTGATGAGAGCTCCTTTTTCCATTCGAGAGAGGAAGTCGAAGCTTCATATGGGACATTTGGGCCAGACCACAGTGGAAATTCAAGAGCCAGAGACGACGATGGTGATTCAGTCACCTCGTCACGGGAAGAAAAAAAGAAAAAAACTTGGCTTCTTAATCAGGAAACGAAGATCTTTTTGAGGGACAAGACAATGTGGTGTCTTGCTGCAGGCTTCTTCCTCGCTTCCGGTCCAGGAGAAGCATATATCAATAACGTACGTTCTATCTTATCGCAGAATAATGCTTCATCGAAGCATTTGCAACCCTGCTAATACCATTGATTCTAATAGGTCGGAACAGTCATCAACACACTAAGTCCTCCCTCATACCCCCCAAACCTACCTCCACCGGCCGGCTACCCATCCACTCACGTAACCATCATCGCCCTTACCTCCACAGCTGCCCGCCTCTTGACTGGCTCACTGTCCGACATGTTCGCGCCCACTCCGCACTCACACCTACAAGTCCAGCATGAGCCTTCAGATTTAGCCACACCTAAAGTCCGTCTCACTCTATCACGCCTTATCTTCCTCATTCCTTCTGCCATCTTACTCTCCTTCGGCTATCTCTACCTATCTACCCCACTCGCACTTAACTACCCATCCACCTTCCCCGTTACCACATCCCTTGTTGGCTTAGGCTACGGCGCTGCCTTCTCTCTTGTACCCATTATCATCTCCGTTGTATGGGGCGTGGAGAATTTCGGCACGAATTGGGGAATTGTGGCTATGGTTCCGGCTCTGGGAGCCACGGTTTGGGGCGTGGTATATTCCGCTGGGTATGAGGCTGCGATTAGTCCTGGTGAGAGTGAGTGTCGTGGATGGAGTTGCTATGGATACTGGGCGTTGGGTTGTACAGCGAGCGCCTGGGTAGCGGCGATATTCTGGGGGATTGCGTGGAGAGGGTGGAGGAAGCGAGGCGTGATAGTATGACAGTGCATTCACCCTTATCCGCTATCATCATTCGCTTGCGGACTCTACACATTTCTAAGCATTTTCCCTAACTAGCATGGCGTTGTTTGGTTTATCATAGGCGGAGATATGTGCTGGTATTTTTGGATTTGATATCTTCGCGTAGCTAGTTAAATTATGCATAGATGACTATGAATAGACTGATAGAATTTCGGGATTTCCGAATTTCCATAGAGTCCATAGCATATCTTCTTTGCCGCCGAAATGCACACTCCATCGGCTTTGATTTCGCAGGAGACTTAAAGTTCAAGCTATTCCTAAATTGGAAAATTAAAAATATTTATCACGTGAGGCAACACCAGGCATCAGAAGTATCTCCTTTTCGCATTCTGATCGAGACGAACCTCATCTATGTTTGGGATCAGTCCGTCGGCTTACCTGCTCTGCTCAAGCTTCGATACTGACGATAAGGGGATTTTCTTTTTAATTCCTTTCTATGCTGTAGCATTTTTTTGGACCTATCCAATTTTTGGTAGTTCTTTTGTCGGAATTACCCATCCGTTAACCCTTGAGTGACACTTGCGTTTCAACCCGGGAGCTTGACGATACCCATTCATGATTGAGGATTGCGACAATATTTAGTTAACCCGTGAAATTATGGTTGAGATTATTAGCTTACTTTCATCCCCGGAGATATGTCTACAGCAACCAGCATCAAGACCATCAACTAGCGAGCGTAGGTCTTTTGGACACGGCAAAGATATTCTCTCGGACATTTTGGATGATTCGCTGTTTGATATTGAAGAAGTTACAAATCCGCCAAAACGGCGGAGATTGAGTCCCTCTTTGGATATTTCATCGATATCGCCCCAGCCCCGTCCAAATGCGAGAGCTGTGCTGTCCTCCTTGCTTGCGGATGATTCCCCGCAGGTTGGGGAGAGCTATCAATTTGAGGGAAACCAATCCTGCCGGTTCAAGGACTGGGATGACGAGATCTCCGATCCTGACACACGGCTCTCATCTGGGGGTAGAGCTCGTGTTTCTTACCGTGGACGAGATCCAAAGGGTTCTACGGATGTGATTATCATCGATAATGATTCGGAGGACCTGGAAGGCAATGGGATATTACCAAACTGCTTTGACCCCGCTCCTCCTTCTGCTTCTCGGCTGGCGTACTCTGATCGTACCTCCAGTCTTTTAGTCAGGCTACATGATCGACGAGAGGACAGTGGGAAAGCGGTTATGAAGGTGAGATAACACTCTGCCCTGTTGGTTTATTTGAGGAGCTGACATCTTAAAAAAAAAAAAGTCTAAAGCTAGCATATCTTTGTCCGATGAGGATTCAGGCCTTCCAAGAGTGGCTCGAACTAGAGTAAAACGACCCGCGGACAGTTCTGCTTCCGACAAGACAGCTAAAGCTCTTGTAAGAGAAGCGGCTAAATTCCGGCGTGAAAAAGAAAAGGCAGAAGAAAAAGAGCGTAAGCGTAATTTAAAAGAAGAAAAGGAGAAAGCAAAGAAGTTCGCCGCGGACATTGCACAAGCGAACAAATTAAAAATCAATAAGAAGGAGAGCACTCCGGAGATGTTAGTTGATATGTCTCAATCTTTTGAGGATTCTAGCGTGGGAACCCAAGTTGGTGAATATATGCGCCATCTTGGGGTGCAGATAAGATTTGTTTCCACGAAAATACCGAATATCGTATCCTGGCGACGCAAGATCACTGCTTTTTACAACGATGAAGTAGGCCATTGGGAGCCATGTCCATTGAAAATCCGGAGAGAAGAGCATGTTTTGTGCTTTTTGAGTGCGCAGGAATTTGTGAACCTGGTGGTCGCTCCTGAGGTAGATCAGAGCGTCGAGTCCCACTTGCGGAAACTTTTGCGAGATTATCCTGGCTGCAAACCAATCTACCTCATTGAGGGGCTGACTGCATGGATGCGGAAAAATCAAAATGTTCGAAACAGAGCATATCAGGCTGCCGTTCGGCGACAGATGGTTGAGCTCGGCAACTCCGCCACTGAATCCGGTCCTTCAAATAGAAGGTCAAAAAGGGCCGCGCCACCGGAACCCCCCATTGACGACGATGCTATTGAAGACGCGTTGCTTCAACTTCAAGTTCAGCATAACTGCCTAATCTATCACACTGCTGCTGCTGCGGAGTCTGCCGAGTGGATCAAGAATTTCACGGAACACATATCTACAATTCCATACCGACGAGAGCGACTCAACGTGCAAGACGCTGTGTTTTGCATGGATTCTGGACAGGTGAAATCCGGTGTGGATGTGGATGATACATACATCAGGATGTTGGAGGAGATCCAACGAGTAACAGCACCGGTAGCGTATGGCGTCGCGGTGGAATATAGCAGTGTGAGAGACCTAGTAAATGGAATGAGGGAGCACGGACCGTTGAGGCTCCAAGATGCACAGGTATAGCCGGTTCCCCGCTTTCCATGCTTATGGTGCTAACAACCCTGTTTCATGCAGAAATGCGCAAATAAATCCGGGGCGTTGACCGAAGCGCGAATTGGCCCCGCAGTGAGCAAGCGCCTCCATAAAATATTCACAAGTTTGGATCCCGCTTCCACCGATATCTAATTACATCCATCAATCCTTGCCCCATCACAGCCGGTTTAGTATTTTGGCTGCCGAGATGGATTTATTTATTTATTTATTTTTGAGCATCTTGAGGCTTTGCGTACATTGGGTAAACAGCGTCCGGTTGAGTGGTTAGTTAGCAGTGCTTGCATATAGCTTTACGGGATTTCCTAGCCTAAACAAATACAGTATGCCCAGGACTTGGAAAGATTGACGTCTAATACGATGGATCGGGAGCCCGACTGGTGTTTCAAAGTTCTAGAAGAGATATTGGTGTGCGACGCGAACATCGCATTGTCCGTGAGGAACGTTCAAGAATGATACGCTCTCCCGCCTCGTGTCGCTGTCGTATCTATAAGTTTTGATCCATGTAAGAAGGCATTCAACGCATGACATTCCCAAATCATTTATCTCCAAGCTTCAAGTTTGTCAAGTGCTAGTGAAAGTTTGCTCTTCATTTAAAATTTCAAGGTAGGAAAAAAGAAGGAAAATGGAAATGGAAGAAAGAAAAAAATATATAAAAGGCAAAAAAGAAAGTAAGGTCTCGCTGGGATTCGAACCCAGGCAACCGGAAGTTTGGTGTTGGAAGTCAAAATCCGGTGTCATAACCCCTAGACCACGAAACCGTTCACAATGGTGGTGGTTGCTCATAAAAACTACTTAAATGACTGGCTGCCAATTTCTAAAACGGCTCGCTCCATCTTCCTTTTTTTTTTTTTTTTTTTTTCGCAGTGGGTAGGCATCTATCTCTAGTCATATTAATTGTATATGGATGAATACTAGCCTTTAGCATCTGGAGCCCTTCTCTGTACAACTTGAATCACTGCAAGGACAACCCGGTGCAAATCTGGCGCGGCAGGCTGTTTTGATTCCCAGGGTTACCAACAGCTTTCTAAGATATTACTTCAAGTTGCCTAAGGGCGCGATTCTCGCTTGCAAGCAAGATATTGGTCTACATTTGAGACTAGAAAGCCCCTCTGTATATGTCGCCGCGAATCTCAGTTGGGCTTATAGTTGTCCGAGCCGACGTCGGAAGTGACACTCCAACGTTAAATTTCTCCAGCTTCGAGTAGAGCTATCGCGTCCTCATACGCCTTGATAATAGGATCGTATAGCCTCTTTGGATCCTGCGGGGTGCCAACAATAAGCCCTTTCTTCCCGTAAGGAAATAGTATATCCCGAACAGCATTGCAGAGTGGTTTGACGCATTCAAACCATGGAGGAAATTCAGACAAAATATCATCAAACCTGTCAACACTCATATCACTTCTCTTGATCCTCGCGATTTTCTTATAGGTTCCAGTGTACCACTCTTTTAGCATACTATCCTTGGGCGGTGTTTGCCCTTCATGTGATTCCAGCTGTAATTTTTTTAACTTCATCCAGCCACAACAGGCGCACTGCCAGATCAGCACATAGAAGAAAGATTAAGATCATGACAATAGGTGTGGTCAACATTGAGGAGCACCTCAATTGCCATGAACTCCATCATGCCTGTCTGGTGTCGTGCACTGCTCCATCCGCTACCAACCTCTTTGGCAAGATCAAGATCAATAAGCACGCCTGACATGCTGCCAACTTTGGTAGGGTCAGTAATGATGATGTTGTTCTCCAAGATATCCCTATGTAGAATGTTCTCATCAAGGTACAAAGACTGATGTGCCTTTATTGCATCTCAAAGTGCCATGAGCAGCTCCAAGAGCAATTCATAATCATACACAGGCCATCCAGCAGGTGAGATCACCAGGCAGCAGAGGATGTGGTTGTCATACACTTTGTCATCCTTGTCAAAGAGGCTAGGTGTATAGACCAACTCAACAGTGAAAGTTAGCTCACTCTTGAGCTGTTTGTCTTTGGCTGCTGGCTGCTGGAACATGATCACTTGGCTGCATGTGGTCTGGTGTTGGGTGATCTGCATTTTCTGGATGGCTTCCTGCTGACACTGAGTCCATGAAGTTCAGTAAGTGATTGGGATAGCTTACATCACAATTGTGATTGTGATTGCGCAAACAATGAGGCCACACTGGTGTTCCTGATTTGGAAGGTGTGAGGGTTGCTGAACATCAGGCCACAGTGTAGGTCTGCAATGCTGGTGATGGTGTGATGCCCAATGACCCTTGCAATCCCCTGGACACCTCTCTGGTTTGCAAGCTGGAGGAGGTCCACCTCTGGCCATCACTTGTCAGATGTCCATGAGAATTTCACCACACCCTCCACTTTATCACCATTCTTTGCAAGGAAACAGCTTGTCCTGTGATATACAATGGCATACTGGGAGCACAGTGGAACAGGGTCAAGTCACAGCAATGTTCTCTCTGCAGTTCCAGTGCCATCAACAGCTATTGTTCAGCTGCCATTCCCATCTGGGGTGGTGAAGGTGTCAAGACCCAGCTCCTCATCACTCATCATTGCATAATCTAGGACCATCTGAAAAAAACATGCTGCATTCTTATAAACATCAAACACTCCAGAGCTGTAGGGCCCAGAGTGATTGAACATCCAGGCCTCCATGTTGGTCCCACAGACCATGAATGCATGCACAAACTGGCAAGCTGGCTGGGTGATAAACACTTCCTGCACATAGTGTGCAAGCTGAAGCAGCATGCTCTTTGTCCAGATCTCATCTGATGACTTCTTCAGTTCGCCTATCACATGGACATCCTTCCAGTCATGTATCTTCCCCAAATCACCCTGAACTCGGGCCTTTAGCAAAAGATCAACCTGTCACTCTGCCTCTGAGCCAATGAGATCCTTCTTACTTGCTGTCGAGAAGTAGACACCGCGCGCGTTCGAGAGGAAGTTATCCTGGAACTGAAGCCACCAGTCAAGGACAGCATTCTGCACAGGGGGATCAGGGAATCTGGCCCATTCACTGTTGCTGCCAGGTTCTAGGACGCGTTGACGGATGGCATCTGCCCTCACGCTCCAATCCTTTCCTTCAAAGTATTTGGTGAAGAAGCCCTCCACATCTTGAAAGGTGCACCCACATATCTCTTCAAATATCCTCCCTTCCACCAGCTGACGCGTCTGCTCAGTTCCTTTCTGTGACGATGACGTGAATCTCACCGGAGTAGCATCGAACGAGGGGAGAACGCTCGCGGGGGGGGTTTCTCGAAAAGCAGTGGCGATGAGGTCGTAGACAGCTTTCCAGATGTCGGTGTCAGCGGCCTTTTGGATGACGAGCCGGACCAGCGGTCGATAGCAGTGGTAATCATGGTTGAAGCGGGATCATTGAAGGTGCTTGAACAAATCTGCCAGGTCGGAAGCCACGTTTTGATCCGCAATTCGTGAGCGAAGGTTGAAGGCTGCATCCCCTCCCTGAAGAGCATGAAGGAGTTTTGAGAGCGCACTTCGATAGAGTTGGTCAAGACTATCGATGGCAGTGTCAGATGAGTAGATTGTCTCTGCCTCTTGCAGCAAGCCGCATAAATTATCAAGTGAGCCGGCTAAAGGGTAGTCCTTGATGATGGATTTTTCATCTGGCGAAAGCTCCGCCATGCTGGTAATGTAAGGAGATTAGCTTTGACATGTTAGCATGAACTCTGTCACATAGAAGGGATGGTCGTTGCGACAGACAGGTACCAGGACCCGAAGTGGGATAGGATTATATAAGAGAAACATCGTCGTCGGCAACGGTTGCCTAGTTATCACGTGACCCCCAATTTATCATAAATAGTGAGCGATTTCCTGCGGAAGAAACATAGAAATTCCAACAATTTTCTAACGGATTTTCTTGATTCTTCTATTCTCAACATTAAGATATGCCTCCAATACACATAGAAACCCTGGTCCCTTCTAAAGCGCTTGAGATATGTCTCCGAACTGGGGGCTTCGGGAGCCAGCCAGACACCCGGTCGCCCACCTACAGAAGAATTATCCAGCTGGTCTTATTCAAGGATTATAATGTAAATCGTTAGAGCCGTAAACCATGGCCGAAGGCTGATGTCCAGGCTATGCAGTATGGCAAGGGACCTTGGAATGTAGGTTCTGGTAACAAGACGTAGTGCGAGAAATGAAAGAAAGAGTAAAACAGAGAGGTTCGGTTAAGCTCCCCAAGCTATCCCAATACGGTGGAATCATCATGTCACGTGAGCCCGTGACATTTCCATACCGGAAAAATGAGCTTTTCGGGCAACTGTCGGAAAACATTTATCCAACACAACCTGTTGAACCATGGGTTGCAAGCTTGAAACTGTAGATCAACCATATATTTACAATGCATGTATAAAGGGTCCAAAACATATAGAATTCAGAATGTATGATGCATCAATTAAGGGTTTTGAACCTGATTTAGAAGCTTTTCAATTACTAGAAACTAACTAAGTATTACACAATCATCTGCACAATCTGAATTATAATGAAGTTTTTTTTTTTTTTTAAATTTCAGAAGTCTCCTCATCAGTTAAAGTCTCTGATTTAAGAACAGAATATAAGACCAGTACAGAAGAATTATCAGAGCAAGCTTATTTGAGCTGTCTAATCATACTTTCAAGCAAATCAGCTTCACTGTCTCCAGTTGGAGACAGGCCCAACACAGATATATTTAGCTGTGACTGAATGAAGAAAGAAGATGTGATTGGAGTAGAGAAGAAGAGAGAAGAAGTAGATGCAGCAGAGAACAGAGCAGCAGTAAATCAGTTTATCTTGATTACTGATTTGCAGATGATTTCTTCTATCTTTTACTTTTTCTATTATTAAATATTAAAGTTAGTTTAATTTATTCTGATATTGCATCAAGTATACTAACTGCAGAAGATAAATAATTAAACTTTAAGTTCTGGTGAATATTGGTCAAGATTCTTTCAATATTCTATATATATAATTATATTAGCATAAGTTAAATATATGATCTCTAATCAGTTCAATCTATCTTGATAGAATAGAATGTATGCTCTACAAGCTCTTTTTATTTAGCTTGAATAAACACAAGCTTTTTCAATACTGTTAAAGTAGCAGCATTAACTTCAGCATTAAAGAGAGAAAGAGAAGAGAATTTGTCAGTTTGAACTAATAGAAATACTATTTTAGTAAGTAATTTACTGAGACCAGCAGTCTGTTCTGTCATACTAGCTTTTAATTTCTCTTGAAGTGTTGTGTTCTTAAGTCTGAGAAAATTATTATAATCAGACAGTAATATTACTACTTTCTTCTGCAGCTTTAAAAAAACAGAAGTACAGACTTTTTTATCTTCTGCATAATTAGTGCAGGTCTTTGTGATTTCTTGCTTGCAAGAACAAGACTTTTTAATATATACTATATACACAAATATTAAACAGTAACTATAGAGTATATTACTTATTATAGTAGACTCTTCTTTAATAGTTAAAAGCTTTTGCTCTAGCTTCTTCTTTATAAATATTAGAGAGTACTCATTCTGAGCTGCTGCTAATTTACATGTTTGTGAAGTTATTTTTTACTATTTCTATATATATTATTCTTCAGTTTGCTGCAGTTCCTTATTTTATTCTGAAATTCACCACTTATCTTGATATTAAAATAGAAGAAGAGAGATAATGAGAAATATAATAAGCTTAAGAGAAGAAAAGAAAGAAAAGAAGAGAAGAAAAGAGAGATTTTATGTAAAAAGAGATTATTATATCTAGTATGTCTGCTTGATTATTTTGAATTTCCTAATCAGAACATATCTATTTATATATTACTAAGTGCTAACTTATTTTGCTTAGAGCTTCTATAGCTAATTACAATGAACAATAAAGAGATATATATTAAATATAGTAAAATTTGGCTCTTGCAAGCATTAATATAACAGAGTATTACATTAAAGTCTAGATATTAAACTTTGAAATCTATTTTGAAGCACAAACTAACAGCTAATTTTAATCTAAGAAAATATCTTTTCATGTATTCAACTAGAATCTGTGTCTCTTTTGAAGCATGTGATCAGTTGTGGCTAGCAAAGATCTTTTTAAATAAATAGACTGATTTATTGCAGTCTTAAAATAATTTTCTGTAATATTCTGCAAAGAATTCTGATTCTTCTTATCTGAATTATCATTCTCTGACTTCTGTAGAGCTTGCACTGTCTGAGCTGAATATAAATCAGATTCTCTAAGTGATATACTAGATATCAACTGAACTGCATTCAGAATTTCTGGTAAAGTCTTAATATAAACAGTCTTTAACTTTCTTGATTAAATCTTCTGTCAGATAAAGTCATCTAAATTAATATCTCTCAGTTCTGGTTTCTGTATCAAGCAGTTCCAGAGCTTGAGTACAGAATTCCAAATGTAGATTAATGAAATAGATATATTCTGTTTTGAACTGTTATCATCAAGATATAACTTTATATATGCTACTAAATTTGCATACATCTCTATTGCTATAACTGTTAGAGCAGAAATCATAGTAATTAAGATTTACTATTAACTTATGTTCAAAATATCATTTCTCTTGTGAAGCTGACTTCTCAAAATCAATACACAGCTTGATTTAGTAAAAGACTTTACAGAATTAGTCTTACTTGAATAATCAGACAAAATAGCTGATCAGCTTTTGTTAATTAGTTATTTCATGAAGTCTGAAATCAGAATTCTCAGTCAAGCTGAGTTCAATATATTTTCTGACATGATTCTGCAAATGAGATCAGTTTATATCATAACTAGAAGTTTAGAGATGTTGTTTTAATCTTCAAGCTACTTAAGATCTTATATTTTCAATCTTTACAGAGATCTGACATCTGTCTGAAAAGTTCATAAAAATATGAGTTGTTTTCAGCTTTCCAGTTCTCAAGATTCAGCATCTTCTGAATGATATTAGGAATTGAGTCAGTATTTAATGTTAATATATAGACTCATTGCACCTGATTTTGTATCTTATGCTCCATCACTCAAACTCACTTTTTAATTTCTGTATGATCAGAGAATGCTTCAGTTCAGGTACTTGTATTCAAACTAAATAATACTTCTTGAGCCTTTAGTATATTATGCAATTAAGCTCATGGAAAGATGCAAGTTATTCTTTTTGACACTGGTATACTCTGTGTCTCTAATATTTTGACTATTGAATTGCTGTTGAGAATGAATAAGAGTGAATACTTGAATTTTGAAGAGGTTCACTATCTATTATATAGTTGACTTGAAGCATATTTAACTGCTCAAGTTACTATTCAGATCTGTATTCATATTTCTCTACATTCTAAAATTTAACACTACTAAGTGATTGATTTCTTTGAAATAGATCAATCATTCAGAAGAATGCAGATCATTGCTGATCTTGTATCTCTTAAAGTTAGTTACAGATCTAGATAATCAGAATATTACAGTTAGTCTGCAGCACAGTTAGCATATTTTGTGGCTGCTCTAACATTTAACTTTGCTATAATACATTCAATTCCCCAATCAAACAGCAATTTTCTTTCTAATTTCTATATACTTTGTTCCAAAGAAATTTCACAGTAACTCTCACTGTTCCTGCAACTTGAAACTCAATTACTGTAAAAACTAATGTATAAATCTCAAGCAAACATGTGAGGTCTGAGGTACTTGAGGCACATAGAGAACTACATCAGCAAATCCCCATCAGGCCTGCCACACCCCACAAATTTTAGTATAATTTTTCACACTATAGATAGTCTTAGCACTCTTGACATCACATAATTGCTCTGGTTTTACTCCAGGCCACATTTTTGATTTTCTTGTTGCTCTAGATTAGCTCTGGTTGAGTTCTTCCACCAGTGATGGCTCCAGGCCTGCTGGACTTCACCAAATCATTCTTTAGTTATCTCTTTTACTCACCAAGCCAACATGCCACTCCTGCCAGTACTTTGTACTCTTAGCTATCTGGAAGTTCTAACTCTACACATTAAAATAAATTATTTCAAGACTAGTAGTATTCTCATTTTTTGTAAAAACTCACAAAGCTACATTTAGATATAAGTAAAAAACTAAAGTACATCATGAATTCTCAGAAACTCTCAATCTCTTGATGCTATACAGAGACTGTATGCAAAGCAGAGTTTTACACTTCTGACTATTAGTATCTGATTTCTTAATTTTCTTGTCACTATTTTCTGTTCCATCTTCTGGTGTCTCATTTTTCTTGTTGTTGTTGTCTGTTTTATCTGAAGATGGCAAGCTGTCAAGATCTGTCAAGAGTGAATCATTAAGATTCATATGTTCAAGCTTAATGGTGAATAGTGTACTGGATGTTAGAACTCTGACCAGAGAGACAGAGTCTTGTAAAGATTCATGTAAACTGTCTGATGTCTTTAAATCATCTTCTGTAATTTCTGTAAGAGTCTTATTTTCTGATGAATCTGCATGTTATAGAGACTGCTCTGGATCTGGCTTGACAGGTATCTCATTACTAGATTTTACTGATAATTGCATCACAAGAAGAGTTGTGAGAATTGTACATGTGGATCAGTATGACAATGAATCTATAGAAGAAATTGTACATAGAAAAGAGTACACAAGATAAAAGATCTGATATTGGCAGCTATATATAACTTCTAGACAAGATTGCCACTGGCTCTCAACAAGAGATTTACACAGTAGCAGTCTTTTATACCATACTGGAAAAATGAGCTTTTCAGGCAACTGTCAGAAAATGTTTATCCAATGTGACTCATTGAACCACAGGTCACAAGCTTGAAACCATAGATCAACCATATATTTACAATGCACATATAAAGAGTCTGAAATGCATAGAATTCAGAACATATGATGCACCAATTGAGGGTTTTGAACCCAATTCAGAAGCTTTTCAATTACTAGAAACTAACTAAGTATTACACAACCACCTGCACAACCCAAATCATAATGAAGTTTTTTTTTTTTTTAAATTTCAGGAGCCTTCTCACCAGTTGGAGTCTCTGGTTCAGGGACAGGGCATAAGACCAGCACAGAAGAATCATCAGAGCAAGCTTATTCAGGCTGTCTGATCATACTTTCAAGCAAATCAGCTTCACTGCCTCTAGTTAGAGACAGGCCCAATACAGATATATTCAGCTGCAACTGAACAAAGAGAGAAGGCATGATCAGAGTGGGGAAGAGAGGGGGAGAAGCAGATACAGCAGAGGACAGGGCAGCAGCAAATCAGTCTATCTTGATTACTGATTTACAGACAGTTTCTTCTGTCTTTCACTTTTTCTGTTATCAAATATCAAAGTCAGTTCAATTTATTCCAACATTGCATCAAGTATACTGATTACAGAAGATAAACAATTAGACTTTAAGTTCTGGCAGATGTCAGTCAAGGTTCTTTCAATATTCTATATATATAACTATATTAGTATGAGTTGAATGTATGATCTTCAATCAGTTCAACCTATCTTGACAGAGCAGAATGTATGCTCTGCAAGCTCTTTTTGTTCAGCTTGAATGGACACAAGCTTTTCCAACACTACTAAAGTGACAGCATCAACTTCAGCATTGAAGGAGGAGAGAGGGGGGAATTTGTCAGTTTGAACCAACAGAGATGCCATTTTAGTAAGCAATTTACTGAGACCAGCAGCCTGTTCCACCATACTGGCTTTCAATTTCTCTCAGAGTGTCACATTCTTAAGTCTGAGGAAATTATCATGATTAGATAGCAATGCTGCCACTTTCTTCTGCAGCTCTGAAGAGACAGAAGTACAGGCTTTTTTATCTTCTGCACAATTGATGCAGGCCTTTACAGTTTCTTGCTTGCAGAAACAAGACTTTTTAATGTACACTATATACACAAACATCAAACAGCAGCTACAGAGTGTATCACTCATTATAGCAGGCTCTTCTTTGACAGTCAAGAGCTTTTATTCTGGCTTCTTCTTTGTGAATATTAGAGAGTGCTCATTCTGAGCTGCTGCCAATTTATATATTTACAGAGCCATTTTTTGCTATTTTTACATATATTATTCTTCAGTTTGCTGCAGTTCCTTATTTCATTCTGAAATCCACCACTTACCTCAATATTGGAATAGAGAGAGAGAGGCAACAAGAAATATAATGAGCTCAAGAGAAGGAAAGAAAGAAAAGAAAAGAAGAAGAGAGAGATTTTGTGTAGAAAGAGATTATTATATCTAGCATGTCCACTTAATTGTTTTGGATTTTCTAATCAGAACATGTCTATTTATACATTATTAAGTGCTAACTCATTTTGCTTAGAGCTCCTATGGCTGATTACAGTAAACAATAAAGAGATATATATTGAATATAGTGAAATTCAGCTCTTGCAAGCATTGATATAACAGAGTATTGCATTGAAGTCTAGATATTAAACCCCAAAATCTATTTTGAAGCACAAACTAACAGCCAATTTTAACTCAAGAAGGCATCTTTTCATGTATTCAACTAGAATCTGTATCTCTTTCAGGGCATGCAACCAGTTGCAGCTGGCACAGATCTCTTTGAATAGGCAGGTCAATTTGTTACAGTCTCAAAATAATTCTTCATAATATCCTGCAAAGGATTCTAATTCTTCTTGTCTAAATCATCATTCTCTGGCTCCCACAGAGCTTGCACTGCCTGAGCTGGACATGAATCAGATTCTCTGGACAGCATACTAGATATCAACTGGACTACATTCAGAATTCCTGGCAAAGTCTTAACATGAACAGTCTTTGACTTTCTTGGTCAGACCTTCCATCAGGCAAAGTTATTCAAATTAATATCTCTCAGTCCTGGTTTCTGTATCAAGCAGTCCCAGAGCTTGAGTACAGAATTCCAGGTGTAGATCAACAGAATGAATGCATTCCATTTCAGACTGTTGTCATCAAGATACAGCTTCACATATGCTGCTAAATTTGCATACATCTCTATTGCCATAACTGTCAGAGCAGAAATCATGGTAATTAAGATTTACCATTAACTTACATTCAAAATACCATTTCTTTTGTGAAGCTGACTTCTCAAAATCAATACACAGCTTGATCCAGTAAAAGACTTCACAGAATTGGTCCCACTTGAATAATCAGGCAAAATAGCTGATCAGCTTTTGTCAATCAGTTATTTTATGGAGTCTAAAATCAGGATTCTCAGTCAAGCTGAGTTTAATACATTCCCTGACATGATCCTGCAAATGAGATCAGTTTATACTATAACTAGAAGTTTAGGAACATTGTTTCAATCTTCAAGCTACTCAAGATCTTATATTTCCAATCTTTACAGAGGTTCAACATGCATCTGGAAAGTTCACAAAAATATGAGTTATTTCTGGCTTTCCAGTTCTCAAGACTCAGCATCTTCTGGATGGTATCAGGAATCAGGTCAGTATTTAATGTCAATATATAGACCTATCACACCTAATTTCATATCTCATGCTCCACTACTTAAACCCACTTTTCAATCTCTGTATGATCAGAGAACACTTCAGTTCAGGTACTTATATTCAAACTGAATAATGTCTCTTGAGCCTTTAACATGTTGTGCAATTGGGTCTATAAGAAGGTGCAAGCTGTCCTTTTTGGCACTGGCATACTCTATGTCTCCAATATTTTGGCTATCAGATTGCCATTGAGAATGAACAAGAGTGAATGCTTGAATTTCAGAGGAGTTCACTATCTATTATATAATTGACTTGAAGCACATTCAACTGCTCAAGTTGCTATTCAGATCTGTATCCATATTCTCCTATATTCTAAAATTCAACACCACTAAGTGATTGATTTCTTTGAAATAGGCCAATCATTCAGAAGAATGCAGATCATTACTGATCTTGCATTCCTTAGAGCTAATTACAGGTCTAGATAATCAGAATATTATAGTTGGTCTGCAGCACAGTTGGCATATTTTACAGCTGCTCTAATATTCAACTTTGCTATAATACATTCAATCCCTCAATCAAACAGCAATTTTCTTTCTAATTTCTACATACTTTGTCTCAAAGAAATTCCACAGCAACCCTCACTGTTCCTGCAACTTGAAACTCAACCACTGCAGAAACCAGCATATAAATCTCAAGCAAACATGCAAGATCCAAGATACTTGAGACATATAGAGAACTATATATTTTAGAGAAGGCAACTTCATTTGCCATTTCCAGTCTCACAGTTTCAAAGATGCAGACAGCCTGCCCATTTGTTGTGAGAATCACAAGATTGCAATCACATTTTACCTTCAGTGAAACCCAACATTCAGCCAAATAATTAAACTGAGAAGTCAGGGTTAAGTGTAAGATCTTGAATCCTCTGTCAGCCTGCATCATTCTAATTACTGTATATAGAATGCAGCAAGTCTTTCAGATGCTTCTGATGCTCCATCCAACACTCTATTCAACACTCATTCTGAACCAGAAGATATCAGAGTGCAGGAGATTATACAAGAAGCAGTGGCAGCTCTACCCATGGAATCAGTTAATAATAATGAATTACAATAGTATGAAGAGCCCAAATCCAAACTCTGATTACAGACTATATTACATTCAGTGCATCCAGTTGGCAATGGAGATTCCAATTTTCATTCACAACTAGAGAATTTATTAGGTGACCAGCCAGCTGAGACCTACATCTTAACTATAATGAATGACCCATCAGAGGTCCTAGTTCATGCACATGCAGAGCCTGATGAAATGCTGGACCACTTCACACTCACTTTAGAATTATGGTGCAAAAAATCAGGAATATCTCATCAACACTACAAGACACTGCAGAAAGTCTTACAGATTCCCAAAGATATTAGTGTACTGAGATCTCTACCATTAGGGCTGAGCACATTAAAGAAGAAATGCAGAGCTCAATTCTTTATACTTTTCATTCAACAGGCATTCATACCAGCTGTTCCATTGAAAATGCCAACTCTTTCACCTGCCAAGAAGCAACTAATACAGACATTTCTTACATCTAATTTATTCTTTCAGGATCCTGTGGCTCTTTTGTCATTACTGGCAAGGTCTCCTGTATTTCACAAGAAGATACATATTGGTATGGCCAACCTAGTTGACAACCCAACCAAATTGTGGCAATCATGAAGCTGGAGGAGCTTTATTAGATGTTCATCAAATGACTTTGTATGGTATCCTGACAGGACACCAGTCTTTCCTTCCAATTTTGTTCATTTCAGGTGCAACAATGCTGCATGTAAGTGCACTTGGAATGAACAAGAAATCCATATCAGAAGAATTCAATTTGTGAATCAGAACCAGAGACTGGCCTGCACAAAATCCAGTGAAATTATTCTTATTGTCCAGTACACTATTACTGCCAACAGCTTTAATAAAAGAATTCATTTACTGAGACCTTCACTTTGCCTGAACAAGCTGCTCTTACTGAAAGACCAGGAAACTCACATTATACATGAAGACAACATTCTAGTCCAACTGGATGTCTATCTTGACTACATTTTTGACAGATCAGGTAGCTACAAACTCTCAGAAACAAATAGGTTCTTTGTACAGTAAGTAATGAATACAATTTGCTACATATTATCTGTACAAGAGCTCTAACTTAGCACTCCACTCCAGAGTGAACTAGAAATTGTGGCATACAGGAGAGATATGCTAATCAAGATGCTCTGTCCAGACAATACTATCAAGAGAACTATATCCATTCCCTTCCTGCTGTTCATTGACAGATTCAGTCTATATCAGAACATGTACCAAAATATAACTGGCTTCTATATAATTTCTGCAGGACTTAATGATTTCAAAAGAAGACAACAAAATAATATATATATAATTGCTCTCAGGTCTCATGCTACAAATTTTTTCAATGTTGTGGAGGCATTGACTTCCAGTTTACAAGCAGTTGAAAGAGGATTTGACATTGTGATAACTGGTGAAGGAACTGTCAGAGTCATTGCTTCTTGTATTGCTTATCTTGATGACATACTACAGCAAAATGACAATGCTGGAATCAAACACTCTACTGCAATAGTCTTCTGTCAGAGCTGTACTGTCTCCAATGTGGAGAGGTTCAATATGAATTTCAACTTGATGAAACACAGCCAATATCATTACCAGCTACTCAATTTGTGGGCCAAAATTGAGGTGAAGTGGACTGTTCATGAGTGAGAAGCATTGTGGAAGACCTATAAATTAATCAAGAAAAGTCTCCCAGTTTTAAAGATCTGCCCAGTACTGAATCTGGTGACATTTTTCCTCTCTGACCCCTGTCATAGTGAATTTTTGGGCCTGTTCAAAATTGCGCATACATTATTGATATCACATATATTGATATCTGAGGGGCAGAAGGAATACTGCCAAATTTTACAAAGATTTCTATTTTGAAGATACTGGGCCCAACTGCAGTCCCCAATTATCCATCTGGAGTTTTATCAAATTCAGAAACACACTCAAGCTTCAATTGTGATCTCAATTATACTCTACTTTGCTCTAAAGTCTGACTGGATTCAGACTGTTGTTCAGCAGACTCTTTATAACTTCTTTGGTGAACAGTCAATTGATTTCAACATTCCATGTTTGTTGCTTGCTAAAATCTTTGGTGCTATTGCAAGAAGCAATTCATTATTAACTTCTTAGACATCTGTTGGGTACAATGAACTTAAAAGTGTGGTTGCCAACACTCAAACTATGCTTCAGAAAGTGATAGATGCTACTGTCATGGCTGCCAAGGCACCACAGTCAGCTAGCCAGACAGTATGGATGCTGAGATTACAGCAGAATTCATCAGTGTTCAATCAGATTATAACACCCCAACAGAGAACATTTCAATCAATACTGTCAGTATTGCTCTGAAAGCAGATAAGATGTTACATGCTTTGAAATACTGATCAAACATGCATATCAGGGTGCACTATGCTGACCAGGCAAAGAAGTATGCTGTGCCAAATAACTGTAATGTACTGATCAGAAAGGATAAACACTGTAAATATAAAGCATTTGTGCAGCAAACCAACAAGCATGATGTTGAAAAGATTTTACTGATTCATGAGAGCTTCAAACACACTATATTCTTGGTTCTTGATGGGGCTCTTATGGAATTGGAACCCTATATCAGCAGCCAGATGAAGCAACTTCATCACAAATGTCCAATTCTCATGCAAGATCTCATGCAATTGGAACACAATGAGCAACAAGATGATGATGAGAATGCCAATAAAGCCAATGATTCATATGCTACCACCCTCTTCCATACCTTAATCAATGCTTACTGCCAACTACCAGCTAGTCACAAAGTCATGGAATTGCTTGGTTTACAAAGTGTGTGGCTTTCCAAACTACTAATTACATATTCCTTTTTGCAAAAGCTCTGACTTTCATACAGCAGTGATTGGGCATATCAACATATGCTTGGCAGAGATTCAACCCCAGTCTAATTATTTCAAAAGCTGACCTTTATATTCAATGAAGATGCACATCACACTACATTGAAACTTGATGATCTGGTTGAGTATACTCATGCATCAGGCATCAAGATCAGGCAAATAAGGTGCATATTCACCCACAACCAGGGCAGCTGCTGGAGAGTTTTTTTTGCCATGTTCTCTGCTCATGAAATTCAGCACAAGAGGGTACTGGATTTGTCAATTTTGCAGATGAATCAGGATGAGATTCATATAATCAGCCTACCTGCAATCCACAAACCAAGTCTTTACATAATACCTGTCAGCAAAGATTCCAAAAGACTCAAACTGGATTCTGCTCTGCCAACTATCTTTCTCAACTGCACTTGAAGCATTTCCTTTTTATAGGTGGATCAGGTGGTTTGATGTATGTAGTATTGCACATTAGTTGAAATCTCTCCAGTGTCTGCTGGGGTAACTATACTATAATGGTTTCTATACTATAATGGTTTCTATACTATAATGGTTTCTATACTATAATGGTTTCTATACTATAATGGTTTCTATACTATAATGGTTTCTATACTATAATGGTTTCTATACTATAATGGTTTCTATACTATAATGGTTTCTATACTATAATGGTTTCTATACTATAAACATTTATAAACCTGAAAAGGTATCCTGAATGTTCCTAGATATATTCATTGATCAGGGGTTTGAACATTTCCTGATTTCTATATTGAGGATCAGAAGCTATGTTTCTGAATTTGGAATGTATATATTTTTAAACTTCCAAACAACTGTGGATTCAGATAAATGTATATTCTGATGTAAACATATCAGGACTAGTGGATCTACAGTTTACAAATCCTCCCCATTTCTGCTATGATATGTGCTTGCAAGCACATGACTTAGTGTCTTGTGAAGACACATATACTTTTAACAGCTCACAAGCTAAGATTCTAGACTCTTACAGATGTTGTTTGTCTGTATAAGAGATTTACAAACAAATTCTTACAGATTTCTCTCTCTTGTAAGTCTTGATCTCTCAAGACAGCTGTCTCATTAAAAATCTTCATGAGTAGAAAAACAAAATCTCTTGAGAAAAATAAAAATTTTCTTATAAGAAAAAGAGTACAGCCTCACTAAAGATGTAATATCAACACAACTCTAATAACACAACATAATATAATAATACAACAGAGCTCAATAACACAATAATATGTAGAGAGTCTCTATTGTTCTCACTAGCTCCATGTCACTATTAGATAATGAATACTAGCTTAAGAAAGAGCTTTCTCTTACTTTCTCTTTCTCTTCTTTTCTTTTCTTTCTTCTCTAGCTTATATTATTATTATTCAGATAAGTGAACTCTTCAAGCACTGCTTTATATAGAAGACAGGCTTACAGAAAGTTTCTAATAATTAAAAGAATTAAAAATAGCTTTATTCAGATATTCTGTATGCTTGATCTTGCAGTCACAAGTTAATGAGTTCACTCTTAATTGCATCTTTACTTTACATGGTCATGAAATTTTATCTTCACATGAAGTTTAGTTTGCAGAAAGACTAATACTTGCTAGAAGTTTCTGTAAATTTATAGTCTTCTCTTTCTCTCTCTCACAAGTTATTACTACTCTTCTTTCTCAGAAGAATCTTCACTCTCTTCTTTACAGAAGAAGTTGAGCCTTCAGTAAGTAGTCTTAAGAATTTGAAAAGTATTTACAACTGATAGTTCTAGAGTATTATTACTTCTCTCTCTCTTTCTTTTTCATCAGTTATTGTTGCTTCTTCTCTGTCAGCTCAAGCTGTAAGTACTTCTTATAAGCTGATATTTAATTTACATGCTGATGAAGTTAGAGTTCTGCTGCTCTGTCTCCCCTCTCTACAGTTGTTGCACCAGCTCCAGCCAGAAATGTGAGTATTCTCTATTATATTTCAGTTTACAGCTAACCCTCTCTAGATTATTGTTGCCATTCCCCCTGCTCCAGCAGGATTTGTGGATGCTATAGTTCTACAGAGTGTCTGAAATTATCCAGTATTCTCTCCACAAGACTGACAATAATGATTCCAGATCATCTTCACTCAAATACTGTCAGTTATTACTTTTACTGATGCTTTACAGACCAATTCAGTAATTCTTTCAGGTCTTTCATCTTATACTAAGACACAAGCTTTGTCTATCTATAAAAGAGCATGATATTGTAAGTCTATTCAAAGATCTGTACTTATTACTGGTTTAAATAATTTAAATCAGTTAACTGTTCATGTTCAGCTCTATAAGAGTATTCTTGTGACTCAAGCTGGAGTTCAGCTATCACCAGAACAGAAGTACTTTACCTGCAAGAGAGTTCAGCAAGACTATAGTAATATAGTCTTCACAGAGTGTATCTCTACAAACTTGAGTCAAAAATGTAATAACTGTCTATATTATAAGCATCTTGCTTGCTCCTTTCAGCAGTAAGATTATAGATAGTTATTACAGATCTTTATAGAAGAAAGCTGGAGGCTCTTATATAGTTCTTAGCTTAGTTTTTTCTTCTTTTAAGATTAATTTAATTTGATTCAGTTCAGCTTGACTATATCTTTTCTCTTTCTAACTTATTTTCTAGCTCTACTATCTTCATTCATCTCTTTCACAAACCAGACTTGTCCAGGTTCCTACTATAAAATTATTGGAGTAGCTTTTTCAGTAAACAGACATTACTTGTAAAAATTTATATCTTGTTCTTCTTATTATTATAATCTTTCTAATGTACTTTATACTACAGCTTATGATTTTCTCTCTTTAAGTTAATTATCTCACAAATCTAATACTTCTTTTCATTCTTGCCTGTCTCACAAACTTCATAATAAGATGAGCTATCAATTTCTTTGTAGGTCTTGTGCTTGCAGAGCAAGAATATATGAAAGATATCATAAGTTCACAGACCTGAAGACAGCTTCAGTTTGTAGACTCACAAGCCTATCTTCTTTATAATTCTACAAGGCCCATGTCTCAACAAATTCAATTTTTTATTAGGCCACACAGTCTTGATATTGCAAAGATCAAGCCACATCTTGTCTTTCATCTGAAAAGTCTTTACAGTGTGCTTCTGATTATAGTACTTCTTCTGGTAGACTTGTGTCTTCACAAGTAATTTCTTAATCTTCTTACAGAGCAATCTCATTATCTTCACCTGATTCTTTAAATTCTTGCATATATAGTCATACTTATCAGAATCCAATAGATCTGTTTGCAGATTCAACTCATATATCAGCTGAAAAGATAATTTCTGTATGGAGGCCTGCTATAAGTTATTGTACACAAACTCTGTCATTAGTAATTACATCATCCAGTCATCTTGATTATAACTGACATAGCTTTGCAGGTACTGCTCTAGCATACTATTCAGTCTCTCAGTTTAACCATCAGTTTGCAGATAGAATATCATGCTTATTACTCTTGCAATCTTCAAGATATGAGTTAAATCACTCTAAAATTCACTTGCAAACAGAGATTCTCAATCTGTTACTATACTTACAGATAATCTGTATAATCTCACTATCTTGCAAACAAAGAGATGAGCTAATTTCTCTAATGTCAGCTTCTTTATTGTAGAAATAAAGTGAGTCATCTTTATAAGCTAGTTCACTACAACCAGAATACAGTCAAACTGCATCTTCTCAAAATTCAGACTTACAGAAAGATCTGTAATAACATCCATGCTAATAGATTTTTAAGAATAATTTGAAATTGGTAAGAATAATAGTTCTTCTTAAAGTTTCCTGCAAACTCTTCTTAAGCTCTGGCAGACTTTACAAACTTTACAGCACTTCTTTACCAGTTCTCTTATTCTTGACTAAAAGTATTTGCAAGCTATAAGCTCATATATTCTTGCTGTAGCAAAATGCTCTACAAGAGATAAATTATAATAATATCTAATCAGCTCTATTTGCAAGATCTCATTCTGAGAAATATACATGCAATCATCTTTATAGAGAATGCTCTTCTTCTCTTTCTACATTATAAATTTCTTCATGCCCATCTTAATGTCTTTACAGACCTCAGCTGCATAGTCATCACTTTGCAGTAGATTTAGTAATAATGTCAACAGATTGAAGCTGCTCTTCTCATAAGAATTTTTCTCATAAATCAGATCTTTAGTCTTCTGAACCTGTATTGTAATCTTCTTTACTTTGCACATGTCTTCTAAAATAATCTTTATAAGTAGTTTCTTAATTACAATCTGAAGCTTTATAAAAATAAGTTGCATATTCTCATCTTCTCTCTTCTCTTTCTGGTTGGAAGAAACTTGAGCTGTCAGTTCTAACTTTTCTATAATCTCTTGCTTCTTCACAAGCATCACTCTCAGTTGATTTGCAGTCTCACAACCCTTCATGTTATTTAGATCAGCCTTCTTGACATAATCAGATCTTTACAAGAGTCTATCTGCCAGGTTCTTGGTTTCTTTTACATGATCAATCATGAATCAAAAGACTGTCAGTCTTTGTATCCAGTAAATCTATCTTCACAAGAGATCTTGAGCAGTCTGAAAATAGCACAAGCTATCATAATCTGTAAGAACTTGAACTGGTGTTCACAAGCCTTCCAACCAGCAGCCTCAATATCTAAATAACTCCATAATTGTGAGCAGTTCTTGATTATGAATACTATAGTTCATCTTCACAGATTGCATCTTCTACAAATAAAACTCAACTGGAACCCAAATGCTATTCTTTGCCAGCTGTAATAAAATACCACACATTATAAAGCCAGATGCATCTGTTTCCAGTCTAGTCTTTCATTTTATATCAAAATGATAAACCATAACAGCTTCTGCAAACACTCTTTTTAGATTTATAAAGACTTCATAATCTTTTTCAATCATGAAAGTGTTGGTCTCTCTTCTTATCTCTCTTCATATATACCTGCTTAGCTTTGCTTCTCTTTTCTTTAGAAGAGCAGTCAGGCCACAGACTATCTTAGAGAATCTTGAGATGAAGCACCTGTAAAAGTTCACAAATTCTAAAAAGATCTGAATCTCTTTCTTACTGATTGGCTCTGGCCAGTCAAGAATAGTGTCTATACAGCTCTTCTCCATAAGAATACTCTCTGGTGTTATGATATACTCAAGATAGTCAATCTCACAAGCATTGAACTTGCACTTCACCAGCTTGCAATAAAGATCTGTATTCTTGAGTATCTTAAATATTAATTTCATATACTTCTCATGATCTTTCTTGCAAGCCAAGTACACAATCACATTATCAAGATAGACCATTGTGAACACATTCAGATATTCACTAAGTGCCTTCATGATATATAATTAGAAGACTGCTGGTGCATTCACAAGTTCAAAAAACACTATCAAGTACTTAAATAACTTCTGTAAAGTCTGAAATGCAGTCTTTCACTTATTCTCTTCATAAATTCTCAATCTATAATAGGCATTCTTAATATTTAACTGAGTGAATATTACAGCTTCTGCAAGCTTATACAATACATCTTTAATCAGTAGTAAAAAATATCTATTCTTGATCATTTTTAAATTCAGATCATAATAGTTCACACACATTCTTAGTTCACCATTCTTCTTGAACACAAACAGAATGAGTGCTCCTGCAGATAACTTGAAAGAGTAAATAAACTCATAAGTTAGTACACTGCTCAGATATTCATAAAAAGTTTCTTGTTCAGCTTGCAAAAGTCTGTACATTCTTTCAAATTCTGACTGCTTTTCTGACTCAAGATCTATAGTCAAATCATCTTTATAATGTAATGATAGCTCTCAAGTTCTCTTATTGCTAAACACTTCCACAAGTTCACAGTAGGCTTCTAGTATCTGGAGATCTAGATCTGCTATCACCACCTGTTCTAATTTGTAGAGAGTCATCATATAGATGAGCTTCTCTTCCTTCACTAGCTTCAAGAGATTAACTGGTTTAATCTTCACAAGCAGATCATAACATACAGTTTGGAACTCTAGTCTTAGTTCTCTGAAACATATCTTGAAATTATGTCACTGCAGCCAGCTTAAATCCACTAGCATCTCATCTTTTATGTTCATAATCATTACTTGTTCATGGAACAACTGCCAGTTTCTCTGAGAGTTGCAGACTTCAAAGAATATATTTGCAATCCCTTTCATAAGAGTGACATTCTCATAATTCATAGCAGTTTCAATCTCTATAGACATCTTGTGCACCTCTAGTGCTAGCTTTGTGGCCAATCACAAACTAATCACTAGAGATTGATAACCAGAGTTTATTAGTGCTGACCAGATGATACTCCTGTCAGTTAGACTTCACATATCTAGAATAATAGAGGGGAGAGCAAGAAGACTTTTCTTGAACAACTTTATTATATTAATTCTATCTACTTACAGCTCTCCAATTTCCTATTTACTACTCTTCTTCTTGAAACAGTCTTTCACAAGATGTCTCTTTTAGTCATACTTAAAGCACTTTTCTTCTTTTTTCAAAGCTTTATAATTCTTGATAAGATCTTTTCCCATCTTCTGAGCAGGTTTCTGGAGTTAACTTCTCTTATCTGTTTACAGTCTTGAGTTATTAGTCTTTATATCTCTGTAAGCACTTCCAACTGGATTGATAGACTTCACATGCAAGGCATTCTTTTCAAGAGCTGCTGTTACACTTAGTTAGAGTCAGATAGTCAGTGCTACTATCTTATTAATATTATCTGGTATTTCCAGCTGTTCATTCAGTTTAGCTTATATAGACTCATTCAAGTTCTCTATATATAGATTCTTCTTCATTTTTTCAAAGCTTTCAAATTCTTTATCAATTTCTGTTGCAAGCTCTAGAAATCATTAGCAATAGACTTGATCAGTTTCATTCAAACTCTTATAAAGATTGAAGATTGCTTGTCAAGAGTTTCACATACAGTTTGCTGGATCTTCTAGCCTCACATATAGAAATTTCTTGAGATCATTCCAGTTATTTTTTAATAAGTTATTTTTACAGTAAATCTTCCAGAGATCTTTTTCAATGTAATCAAGTTCTGTAAGAGCATATGTGAGAATTTTCTTATCATTTAATTTGCTCATATCACAAGTGGATTCAATACTGGAGGTGAACCACCAATATTTTGTATAGAAGCCAGTCTGATAGAGCTTCATGTGTTGTGATGATCTCAAGACTGATAGACACTTCACAGATATTGGATTAGAGATAGTTATATCAAGAGATTTACTTCACAAGTACTTTTAGATGGCCTGAAGAGTATTCAACTTTTCTTGTCATTTCATCATTCTCTTTAGTAGTTTGGTTTTCTCACAAAGTTGTTAGATTTTATCTCTTGATACTAAGGTAGACTCTCTCTCTGAAATCATAATACTAGTTTCAGTTTTATCTACAGTTAAGAGAGTTGAGATGGTTTCAAGATTTGTCATCTTCTCACAAACTTGAGTTTGTTCTTCAGGTAGATTTTCTGCTGGTATTCCAGATTCACAAGCTTCAGAAGATTAGCTTCTTCATGTTAATATTATTGTCAGGCATCATTAAAGAAGAGTGGTAAAATGTGAGGATCATACATGTGAATCAGCATGACAATAAATCTATAGAAGAAATTGTACATAGAAAAGAGTACATAAGATAAAAGATCTGATATTAGCAGCTATGTACAACTTCTAGACAAGATTGCCACTGGCTCTCAACAAGAAATTTATACAGTGGCAGTCTTTTATGTGTGCTTGCAAGCACATGACTTAGTGTCTCATAAGAACACATGTACTTCCAACAGCTCACAAGCTGAGGCTCTGGGCCCTTGCAGGTGTTGTTTGTCTGTGTAAGGGGTTCACAGGCAAATTCTTACAAGAGTCTTGCTGGTTATAATCAGCTTCTTTAATAAAACTAACTCAAGCATTCACCAGATCTTTTTCATAATGTTATCATCTAATTCTAAGTCTGTCATATCTTCATATTTTAAATGTGAACAAGTCTGTTCAAATATTTTATAGTAGAAGATATCTACTCATTTGCACACAATGTTCTTGACCTCATTCAGTAGATTTGCTATAGTATCATCCTGTCTCTTGTTATCTTTCTGAGCCTCAACATCTTCTGGAAGTTCATCTAGCCATACAGCTAGTTTGTCTTCAAGATCACTAAATGTGTTCAGTGCCATACTAATGATTTGAAGAATCATCTTGTTCACTTGATTAAATTCAACAAAACAATCAAACATATTCACACTATAAAGAATCCAGATCCATTACTTTTCTGTTTAATCAAGACAGTGAACTCTTTCCATAATCTATAAAGTGATGTTCACATTAATTACTGGTTCAAGCATGGCAATGTTCAAGCAGTAGTAATGAATATTAATATTAAGAGAGCAAGTACTGTAAGTAGTGATCAAAACTTCAATATTACTGTCAGAATTATTGAAGACATCTTGTATTTTTTGCTGTTTCTGGAACAACTGGCCTGCTTGCAGTGAAAGAACATTGTACTCAAGAAGTCTCAAGAAGATTTTAACATGGAACTCAACAGTCAGATAAGCAACAAAGACTAAAAAATAATGCCTCTCAGCATTCATAACTTTTTAAAGAATCTTGAGAAATATCAGGTATTTCAGTATTATTAAGCATAAGAATTCTGTAATCCATATGTGGTCAGCTAGAATACAGAAAATGTTAACATCAGTAATCATTCTGCTTATAAGTTATACAATTTCCTGGGATGAGTGGTGCTTTCAGTCAATATCTTGAGAAAGATTACCCTCATACTTCACAATAATTAAAGTAAAAAGGTTTTTCAAAGTAAATGAAAACAATGTATACCTGAGCCAGCAATAAATAGTCATATCAAAACTGCCACTAACATTATTTTCATTCTCAGAAGATTCTTGAGTATCATTAACAGTCTCTTTCTTCAGCATTAAAACAAGATATAAGTGAATGCTGTAATACTGCACCAGCTGTTTTATCTGTATCATTTTACACTCAATCATCCATACACTATAGCTTGGAATATCCCCACTAATAGTAACAACTCTACATATACCATCAAGATTTATTTGGTGATTATATGTTCAACAAAGCTAGATGTAGTTAAGAATTCAAGGCAAAGCAATCATTGCAGAGTATGATAACATTGAACCACATTGAAAAAGCTGATTGTAGAGCAATAAGTGCAGAATATGCAAGCAATTCATATCAGACATGAACACTTTCTCATAAACTTTAAGTGGATCATCAATTGCTTGAAAATTAAAATCCATATGTAAAGATTTCTTATTGATAAGCTGCATAAAACCAGATAAATCAGAGACTCTGTTCATTATAGAGGTTACTGACACAATCCAGATATGATCTCTTGAAATCAAGACAACAGTCTTGTGAACAGAGATTCTTGAATTCTTAACTTTGTGTTCTTTATTAAGTATTACACATTTAAAGAAGTTTTCAGTCAGCTAATCAAGTTTTTTATAAAGCTGCTGAAGCATGTCCCCAAATACATCAGAGAGTTCATCTAGCTATACAGCAGCATCTGGAGTCTTGTGTTGTACAGCTAGATTATCAGAGCTCAAATACATGCACTATCACCATGTTAAATATAACATGATGATAACTGTTGTTGCAGTCTTCAGATCATTTTTATCAAGCTTTTTGAATTCAGATTTCAATGTGATTTTATCAACAATGAACTTCTTGAGAGTCTCATTAATGATCTCTCTACTGTCAAGAACACTATAAAAAAGAATCAGTCAAATACTATCAGAGAAGAACTGAACAATCTGATCAACTCAATTGATGATCACTCCATTTAGACAGATAATCAGAGTGAGATAATATGGTCTAGTTAACTTTTGTTCTTTCACTTTGAGAATTAAAGTGCAGTATTGTGCAGTCTTTTCCAGTTCCACTTCATTAGCAAGAATTTCATCTTCCACTGATGACAGCTCTTGTGTTAATTTTCAAGCAACTCTAGTGACTTGTCAAGATTTTAGTATAAGATTTGTAACCATCAGATTGTCAGAGTTTACATTCAAGTTAGAACAAGCAGTAAGATAATCTGGAGCTTCTGCTCCAGTTATATTAAGTGTGCCATTTAGCTTAAAGAGAGTCTTACCAGTATTCTTAACAGAATCTTCATTATTATCATTATTGTCACTCATTTCAAGATATTCCAGATGTTCAGCATCAGCTATTAGTCTATTATCAGATCTACACTTTTTCACAAATAGTATTTCAATATCAACAGCATTTTTGGTAAACTCTTCAAGTAAGACTTTTCTTATGTCTTTATCCATAAAAGGCAAAGGAATATCAGAGCTAATTCCACAAATAATCTTGTTTACAGTTTCAACAGCATTATTAATATTCTCCTCAAAATCAGCATCAACATCTTCATCAGTAGAATCAATTTCAATATCATCTTGAAACTCTTTGCTAATGACTGCAGTAATAGCAGCCTCAGCTCCTGTCTTTGCAGCAGAATCATCTTGTGCATTCAGGTTTGCATACTTTGAGATAATTACTTTATTATCTTGCTTACAGTCTTTTTCTTGTTTAAGCTGCCAATCAGCAGATCTCATTCATACCACATATTTCAATAGAAGAAGAAGTCTATATATGTTCTCAGGATTATTATTTTTGAATCTCTTCTCAGATTTTGCAATTAATTGCCAAACAGCCCATAATAACACCACAGTAGAAACATCATCAGTAGGCTCAAGATTCTCAAGATCATAATTAAATGAAGAAATTTCTGCCTGTATTGTTGAAAGCTTCATTTTCTCCATTGCATTAATACAGATTGAGGCATTAGATCTGTGTGCAGGGCCAGTTCTACTGAAGAAATTGCTGTATTTCTTGTGAAATATAGTTAAAATATAGTTAATTTCACCTGATCACATCTATTCTTATAATACACTTGTTATTGGGAAGCCTAAATATTCTGCAAGCTTTGCTTGATTTTCATAAATTTGACTATTATCAAGTATATGAACTCTGGAGATTGTACTTGAGTGAAGATCTTCAGTCTTGACTGTCTTGCAGGCCTTCAGTGTGCTTATTTTCTTTAATGGAGTTGAAGGATTCATTTCTCAAGCTAGGCTAAACTCTATGTTAGAATGATAACCAGTCACTTAATATAGTAGATATTGGGGCATACTAACTATATAACAAGAATTTCAAGTTGGAAGATGTATTGCATATCTAGATATACAACACACAATATCACAAAAGAAGTCTTCAAATGGTGTCTAAGTTCAATATCAGCTTGTTGCTCATGAGAAAGAAAGTGCTTATAGAGCTCATTTTGCAAAGAGAATCTTACAGAGAAGTCTGTATATTGCTAATCTCTAGTTAGCAAGCTTATAAGCTTTTTCAAGATTGGAATTCATGGCTGTAGAGAGCTTATCTTTACTGATTTGGAGAGCCAGCAAGCTTGTAGCATAGCTGGCAAGACTATATAGATTAGTAGTTAGAGAGAGAGTTGGAAGAGAGATTATAGCAACAAAAATAAAGTATAGACCCTTGATCTAATTAGAAAATCCAAAACAACATGTCTCTGTGCCATACAGCTAGAAAAGTAGCATGAGATCTAATATTCTTACATTTAAAGTAGAAGCTGTAAATCTTCAGCAGTATTTTTAAAATACATGCTATGTCTTACAGCTAGATAACAGCTCAGTAGATCAAGTAGGCAAGCATGGCAACAAGAAAATAATATAGAATCTCTATATCATATTACAACATCTCAATATTACATGTGTATTTCAGAATGGCAAGTATAAGAAACTCTATAGTAACTAACTTCAATTCAAAGTCATGCACAATCATGATAACATTGAGCTTGTTCAGAGTATAGAAAATGTTAAAATCAGTAATAAGACTGATATTCTTGATAGCTTGACACTGGAAATTATTGAAGTAGGCTGGTACAGTCATGCCAGCATTGTTAATGATGCCATCAAGATGAGAGTCAGCTGTCTCCCCCATCTTGATCAAGGCATGGAGAAGATCTTCTCCAGCAGAAACTGCTTTATTATTGAAGTAGACTGGCACAGTCATGCCAGCATTATTAACAGTAGAGATGATCTCTTCTGATGTAAATTATTTGGTCTTGCCTTTGAATTCAAGATAATAAGCTTGCTACTCTTATCAATAATCTTAAAGAGAAAGTATTTCATGTCAGCTTGAACCTTAGTATTATTAAATTTATGACTGATGAGGCACTTGACATTAAAATCTGTATTTACAGAGTTTATAGTAACTTGATTCTTTGCAGTATTATTAATCAAATGCTCAGTATCTGTGAAGATAATAAATAATAAAGTAGTGTGATTTTCCTGATCATTTGCAATGATTCTGATATAGCAGAACCTCCATAAACATTAGCTAGATTTTCATAAAAGACATAATATTAGTAGAACTTATCAAATGCTGCTATTAAGTGATCAAGCTAGTAATGCTCTCTTTTCTGCAGCAGAAGTAGCAGCCACAGCTGCAGGTTATAACTGCAGCAGCAGTACAGCTAGATGTAATGTTAAAAGTTATAAAAGATAGAAGAGAAGAAGTATTTATATCTTACATGATGCTGTCAAGCTAAGTCTAAAATAAACTAGCTTGTAAATATTATTATAATATTATAATAAAAATATACTGCTCTGTAAGTGAGGCCAAAGTAAGTGCAAAGTGAAGCCAGAGCAAGTATAAAGTAAAGTCTCTATTATTATGCAACAATTTACTAGTAATTAAATTTTTGAATGATGTTTCTCTATTATTATTGTGCTGCTTGTAGCAAGCAAATCTTCATATTAAGTGAATTAAAGAGATATCATATAAAATGTCAAGTATTGCTTGACTATTTTCAAGAATTCCAGTCTTTCCAGACTGAATCAGCCATTTCAACAGACTCAGAGATTCAAGAACATGCTGACAATCTCAATACTACTGAAATCCCTACTGGTGAATGGAATTTTGTCCATGATAACTATAGTGACCAGTTGGCCAACATGAGGAAAGAGAACATTGAGATGAATGAGTCAGAAATCTTGTTACTTGAAAGTGCTACAGCTAGTAACCTTTCATCACAAGAAGATTTAGTTATAAGTGATGTTGACACTGGTGGCAAGAGAGAATGTACAGAATCTACTGTTAAAAGAAGCTCAAACTTCTATATTCTGGTTTCACCAGCCAAGCTTTCTGTCATATTTACAACCCACATCATCACATACAAGACAACAGGTTAAAAAGCAGGTGTACCTGTTGATATTCAAATTGAACCTGATTTTGAATATCTGAAAGAACACAATTCATTTTATTCATTTTGTAGTAAAATTAATTATAGAATAGTGAGTTTCTTTTTCAGAGCAAAACTCAGCAAGAAAAATATTAATAACTTCTTGAAGAGCTCTTTTCTATACAGCAACACTATATAACTGAGTTTTCACAATGCAGACAAGCTCTTCTCAAAAGTTACCAAGATCTCACATGGTCATACTGCAAGAAATTAGGTTCAGATGAATGTAATAGTTCTCTTGCCAGAACCAGATTCACACTTTGAGATACACAAGCTTCAGTATCAGAAAGTTGAATATGTTATTCAACATTTTCTTGACCATAAATTATTCTGGAAACATCTGGTATATGAACCAGTGCAGCACTTTAGTCAGAGCAATAATCAAGTGTATACAGAAATGCATACTGAAAATTGATGATAAAATATACAGAAGAACTTTTCTGATGGCATAACTGTAGTACCAGTATTGATTACAACAGACAAAATACAGCTTACCAACTAATATGAAGACTTGAACTCATGGCCTGTATATCTCTTAATTGGAAATTTAAGCAATATAACAAGGCAGTCTTATAATATGAATAGTACAATGCTTGTTGAATTTCTTCCATCACTAAAGAATGCATTACAGAAACTCAAATCTCAAGTATATTATAAGTCTATAAGAATTATACTGAAGCATAAGTCTTACTTTAAAGCACTACAGGTCCCTGTCATCATAACATATAATCTAGCCATACAGCTAGATATATGCTGAATCTGTTGACAAAATTGACTGACAGTTAGTTAAGTTAATTAGCACTTAAATACTTGTATAAAACAGGCTTCATAATTAAATGTGCTGATGGGCAAGTTCAAAACTGTTTTCCTATTCTTGCCAGAATAATAGCTGACTATGAAGAACAAGTGTTGATAACTGAAGTCAAAAGTGGTAGATACTGCACCATTTGTACTGTTCCATCTAATGCATGAGAGAATCTGATGGAATTCTGGCCAATGAGAACTCATGAATACACACTGGCAATGCTTTGAAATCAGCAGAATGCAATGGTAACCAGAAGACTTGATGAAATTTCAACAAGAATTAAAGAAATGTGAATTCATGCTGTTTCAAACTTTATATGGCACCATTCATTAGTAAATGTTCACAGTATTATGATGATTGACATCCTTTATCAATTACTTAAAGAGCTAGTGAATTATTTGATTAACTAGTTGAAGACTTTAATCAAGAATATCTTTAAAGCAACCTGCCAAGAGAAGAAAGACTCTGATTCCACTATTACTATATCAGATGCTAGAGATATTGCAAGACTTGATAAGTGGTTTCAACAGATTCCTGTATATTATTTACTGAAGTACTTCAAGAAGTTCAGCACTATAAGTTAATAGACTGGAGTTCAACAAAGAGCAGTTATACAACAGTTGATTGTAGCAAATACTTCAATGCTGACAAAGATAAAGCCAGCTGTCATACTATTTGCTCATGCTGTACTTGATCTGCTTTTCCTCACATGATATCAGTTGCATGATGAGAATATATTAAAATATATTGAACATGCACTGTATCAAATCAACAGACTTAAATAAACTTTTAGTGACTATCAGACAAATAACAAAGATTCTGCTAAGAGTAAGCATTTTAACTTTCTGAAGTTTCATGTACTTATTCACTACATGCAATTCATTCATGAATTTAGAAGTCTTGATAAATTCAATATTGAGAATTATAAGATATTACACAAACATTTAGTTAAAGAGTCATTCAGTAGAACTAACAAGCAAGAATCATATCAGAATCAAATAATCAAACACAATATCTGCTGCATGAACATAATGTTAATCAAGAATACAGCACTTGATAATAAAATCCTGAACCAAGAAGCAGCAAGAGTGACTGATAAGCTAGAAGTCAAGAACACATGCCTGTCAGAGACAGTATCTATACATAACTTGAGGTGACAGATATCTGAACTGAGTTCTAGAAATTTTCTTAAGAATTAACTTACTGCTGCAGATCTAGCCAGCCAATTGAAAAGTCTGAATGATGAATTTCTTGAGACACTTGCTGTATTTGTTTAGAAAATGTGAAAGTAATTAAATATTACAAAATCTGAAGAAACTTATGCTTTCAGCAATAAATAAAAGTTTCAACCAGATTGAGTCAAGACATACTGCCTTCAAATTCATCAATCTATTATAACTTGGAAACCAGATGAAAAGAATGACTCAAACTTAGAAAGATTGATCAAGAAAATTGTGCATTGCTCACCAGCATGAATAAGAAAAACAAATTTCTGACAGCAGAACTACATTTGAGTTCAAGTACATGAACTATTCTAGACAAGTAGATTCATATTAAATGGCAAGATGATTAGCCAGCTTGTGGTTGTAATAACAGTTCTTGATCATGAACAGACAGAATATATAAGAAGCTAAAAGACCAATATATTATCTACATAATCTGTAATGTACAGTGATGCATTTATTGACATGTTACAGACTTATACTGGAATTCCACATAAGATTCATGACATGATTAAGATAGAATTGCCTGCAATACCTCAAAAGTCTCTGTTAAAAAGCTGCAATCTTAGTAAACAACAAATCTACTTTATAGAGAATATCATCTGTAGTGCACATGTTGTTCCAGCAACAGAAGATGAGTCTTTGCATGGAGGCAAAAGACTTTTTTATATAAATAACTATATTGACTGGAACCAGTATACAAGTCTATATGATCTGAATTTTATGAACATCAGTACAGCACTAGCAAATAAGTTTTCCTCTAAACTTCAACAAGAAATAGCAAATAGAAAAGCAAAATCTGATGGAGAATCTAAGGAGGGATTGGCTGGGTAGTTAGAATATTCAAGAATACTCATCAGCAACTGAAAAGTTTCAGTAAATTATTGAATACATTCTTTTTACTGCTCTACTTAACAATATTACAATGAATTATTTATGCCAGAGATGAGGTAGAACACCTTTATAGTGATTATATAGTCAGTTGGATGACCATAATATCTAGCTATACAACAGATATGCATGTCTGTCAGACTCTTGCTGTATAGCTAGATATATATCTCAACATGACTTTGAGACCCTGTTATCTGTACTCTGTAACTACAGAGTTAAATAAAAAAAATACACATACTCAATATAAAATAACACTATACTTATAAAGAAGACAGTAGCTCTTAATAAATAAAAGTACTCTGTATATTGATGAAGATTAAAGCATTTTCCACAGCTGTACAAAATATAGAGTAATTAGTTATCTAACTGGCTAACTAGTTACAGAGCAACTCTGTAACTTGGTTAACTAACTTATTAGTTAGTCAGTCATGTAATTTATAACATCTCCCAATCTCTTACAGTAGCTTTACAGGCCCCAGTTCATATTTTGCATTCTGGAACTTGATGAGTTGCATGATTTTTTTTGATTATTTATTACATGCAATTTAATTTGAGAATCTGTTATTTACTAAGTGATTTTCTCAAGTAACACTGACAATGATTCTCAGAAATACATTCTCCAGGCAAAGTCATGCAGCTAGCACCAGATTACTGGAAGTCAAAGATTGGAAAGTGTCAGTAATTAAACATGAACTGAAAATTGACCATGACATATATCAATTACTATATCACTTTGTTGAACAAGAGATGCATCTACAACAGATATTCAGAAAGAAGCTTAGCATACAGAAGAACAGAAAGAAATTACTTGATATTATTCAGCAAATAATTACTTAATATGATTCTATCTTCCATGATTATTCAACTCCCCAGACACAATATTATCTAACAGCAATAGCTCAGAAATGCAACAACAACCAAAAGCACCACCTATTTAGAGAAGAGCTTGTACACTCAAACTTAATTACTTTATCAGACAGTAATTATTCTCAGTTCAACTCTCTTTCTTCTGATATTAATATTGGAGGGATTGTCAGAATACACAAACAGACTCAAAAACAATAGTTTCTGAATGCTACTGCAAAGCTTTAATGTATTATTCTTACTGGACAGAATAATAGCAGTGGCAGAATAAATCATACTCTACTTGAATTAACAAATATAGTTGTTCAACATTTAGAACAGAGAGACACTATAATATGTAGTATGAAGAATCTTGGCAGCAACTGTAAGAGCATGTCAAAGAAAAGAACAAGCATGACAGATGACTCAGCTCTGATTTCATGTATCTTCTTCCAATAATTAAGGACACTGCTTCAAAAATAAGCTCAGTCTTGACTGGAAAGATACTCAAATTTGGTACTTTGAGCCACTGAACAACAAGCTACTGAAAATCTGTAAAGAGCATTCATTTCAAACAGTTCTCAAATAAATATATCACTTAAAATAGCACTACTTTCAGCTTTTTCTAACTGGTTTGAACAGAATTGAAGAATTACTTTCTAATGAAAGTAGTAGTTAGATATGTATGTTCACTTCTGATAGAATAACTATTTGGCTGACTTTTTGAGTTTGTGTTACAGAGCAGATATACAGGAGTTCCAGTTTTGAAATAGCTTATAATTGGTGATCATTATCAAAAAGATCACTAGTCTAGTTGCTAAATGCTGAACTAGCATTTCAGAAGCTTCAATTCCCCCACTAATTTTTCTTTTTTATTTCAGCATTCTGGTACTGAGAATTCTCCTCTACATCAACAATCAATGCAAGATATTTCACAAGTTAATTCTCTTCAATCTGTTGTTGTTCACACATATTACACAGTGAATTGAAAGGTGTATCAAACTTGAATTGTTTTATATTAATGGGATTGAATACTGACTCTCATGTAAGAAATTACATACAATGGTGCTCTTGTCACAGAAGCAGAAGTCACCATCACAAATCTAGTTAGGCACTACTTAGTACAGAAGTGCATCTGCCACTTCTTAGATAACAAGAAAGAGAATCAAACCAGTAAGTACTGCAAGAGCTTTTCTGAAATCAGATAAACAGTTAATACAAGCAATAGACAGTCAAATATAATACATTAATCAAACAGTCAGCAGATTCTCTGAAAAGCAGACAGAGTTAGTTAGATTTTAATAATGCATTACAGAGATAATTACTAATTCAAATGCAATTAATAGACAGGAGTGCATCATCAATATTACAGAATAATATAATGCAAGAAGCAATAAACTTGACAAAGAATAGTGATATTAATATATTATTTGAGAAAGTAAGTTGTAATCACAATATATCTGCTAGCACTACTAATATCTAACATGATAGGAGCCATTGCAGATGGCTAAAGAACTTTGACAGAATTCTGACATTAGAGTCAGAAGCACTGCAACTCCAGAAAATACAGTAAATATATCTTCCAGTGCCCAGCCACCTGCTTCAAAGCATGTGATATGGCATGATGCCAAGCAGTATTACCTGATCAGATCACTGAATGCAGTCAATAAAGCAGTGCTTTTCATTGCAGAGCAACTCTGGAGAGTACAGCTGTTTTCTGGTTTGAATCTCAACAGAATATCAGATAATCAACTAACACTGTGGCCTGAATATCTTGCCAACACAGATCAACTTAGTAAAATAATTGAGAGCATCTGAACAAGAGCAGTGCAGATATAGTATAATGACAGACATAATGTCAGTAATATATCAAGTACCTCATCTAATAAATCAAACAAGACAGAAGCTAGAAGAGTAAGTCTCATTATCTTTACAAGATATAACAAGTTTCTAACATTACATGTTAGCTTCACAACATTGCAAGTTTTGCACAGAAGCACTTTATGAAAAAGACTTATAATATTATGATGGGGAAACTCTCTGGATTAACAGCTGAAGAATAAAAAAAGACTGCTGCAGATCTTCTTTTTAAAGATAGCTTTATATATTTCAATCTAGAGAAAAAGATACATAATATCTTTCTAAGGTGCCCATCTGATGAAATCTGCTACTAAGAAGTCTGGAATGGCAGGATGGCAAGAGGTGCTTTCTGAACCTAATTATATATGTTGCTGTTGGTCAGTGTCTCTATAGTAGAGGTATATACAGCTCTGCTATAAATGAACACACTATGTATCTCTTTAATTCTCTGCCTGCTGGTTGCATCATTTGGGTGTCAACATATTTGTGCCACACTATCAAGAAGTATGAGACTGGTAATCATGAATGTATCAGATTCAAGACCCAAGCTGTACAGAATAAGCTGCTTTACAGATACTGGCTTGGTTGATTTGAAAGCTAACTAGTACTGTACTTTAATAGATGTTTTTGAATGCCTACAAGCTGTTTGGAATCAACAGACAGAAGAACAATAATTACATATTTGCAAAATCATTCTTGACAAAGCAAGAGCTTATATGGGATGGGATGCTCAGAAGCAGAGAGAGCCTGCTGCTACTAATATTATTAATAAGTATGAGAATGATTTGAATGATTTGGTGGAGCTAGGCTTTATGGAAGATACTAGCAATGGTAATAAGTGCACATTACAGTATAGTGATATTGGGACCCTGAATGATAGTATTTTGGTTAGTCTAACATGAAGTTAACTCCAGTTTGTTGAATTGTACTAACAGATGTGGATCAAAAATGTAGAGGCTTGTTGACATCAAGAATATTAACTTGAAGCATATCTACAACCTTACAAACAAGATATCTGATGTTGATAGAGACAATAGGGACAACAGAAACAATGAGGCTAACAGAGACAACAAAGATAACAGAGATGATGAAGATAATAAAGATAATGGGAAAGAGCAGTTCTCATGTTCTTGAGAATACAGAGTGTGAGAAGGCCAGAAAATAATAATTGATGGAGTAAAGCTTGCTAATCTAGCTGTATAGCATGAAATAGTCAGGCTATACAGCAAGATTAATAGCATTGAAGAGTGTATATAAGGTTCTGTGTAATTATATTTTTCACATCAGTAGTAGTGAATTACCTGGCTGCATTATTAGATTTATTTTCTACAGTAAAGTTAAGAGCAGCATATTCATTGTCACCTCTGGTGTTAGCAGCAGCAGCATGAAATAGAATATTAATACATTTGATGATAATATTATTTATATTAATTATAACAGTAATCATATGAGCAACACCATCAGTAAAGTGAACTGTAAGGATTCACCTGCAAACCTCTTATACAGATGAACAACACCCACAAGGGCCCAGAGCCTGAGCTTGCAAGCTGTTGGAAGTACATGTGTTCTTGTGAGGCACTAAGTCATGTGCTTGCAAGCACACATAAAAGGCTGCCACTGCATGAACCTCTTGTTGGAAGCCAGTGGCAATCTTGTCTAGAAGTTATATATAGCTGTCAATACCAGATCTTTTATCTTGTGTACTCTTTTCTACATACAATTCCTTCTATAAATTTATTGTTACACTGATTCACATATATGATTCTTACATTTTGCCATTCTTCTTTAGTGATGCCCAATAATAATATCAACATGAAGAAGCCAACCTTCTGAAGCTCACAAATCTGGGACACCAGCAGAAAATCTACCTGAAGAACAAACTCAAGTTTGTGAGGAGATGACAAATCTTGAAACCATCTCAGCTCTCTCAACCATGAATAAAATCAAAACTAGTATTATGATCTCAGAGAGAGAGTCTATCTTAGCATCAAGAGATGAAATCCAACAACTTCACAAGAAAATCAAACTACTAAAGAGAATAATGAAATGGCAAGAAAAGTTAAATACTCTTCAGACCACTCAAAAGTACTTATAAAGTGAATCTCTTGATATAGCTATCTTCAATTCAACATCCACAAAGCATCTGTCAGTCTTGAGATTATCACAACACATGAAGCTCTATCAGACTGACTTCTATACAAAATATTAGTGGTTCATCTTCAGTATTGAATTCACTCACAATGCAAGCAAATTAAATAATAAGGAAACTCTTGCATATGCTCTTACAGAACTTGATTACATTGAAAAAAATCTCTGGAAGATTTACTATAAAAACAACCCATTAAAGAATAACTGGAATGGTCTCAAGAAATTTCTATATGTGAGGCTAGAAGATCCAGCAAATCACATACAAAACTCTTAATAAATAATCTTCAATCTTCACAAGAGTTTGAATGAAACTGACCAAGCCTATCATTAATGATTTCTAGAGCTTGCAACAGAAATTGGTGAAGAATTTGAAAGCTTTAAAAAAATGAAGAAGAATCTATATATAGAGAACTTGAATGAGCTCATGTGAGCTAAACTAGATAAACAGCTGGAAATACCAGATGATATTAATAAGATAGTAGCACTGACTACCTGATTCTGATCAAGTGTGACAGCAGCTCTTGAAAAGAATGTCTTGCATGTGAAGTCTATTAATTCAGTTGAAAGTGCTTGCAGAGATATGAAAACTGATGATTCAAGACTGTAAACAGATAAGAGAAGTTAACTTCAGAGACCTGCTCAGAAGATAAAGAAAAATCTTACCAAGAATTACAAAGCTTTAAGAAAAAAAGAGAAGTGCTTTGAGTGTGGCCAAAAGAGACATCTTGTGAAAGACTGTCCCAAGAAGAAGAGTAGCAAATAGAAAATTAAGAGGTCATGAGTAGATAAAATCAATATAATGAAGTTATTCAAGAAAAGTCTTCTTGCTCTCTTCTCTATTATTCTAGGCACATGAAGCTCAACTGACAGAAGTATCATCTGGTCAGCACTAATAGACTCTGGTTATCAATCTCTAGTAATTAGCTTGTGATTGGCTGTAAAGCTAGCACTAGAGGTGCACAAGATGTCTATAGAGATTGAAACTGCTATAAATCATAAGAATGTTACTCTTGTGAAAGGGATTACAAATATATTCTTTGAAGCCTGTAACTCTCAGAAAAACTAGCAGTTGTTTCATAAACAAGTAATGATTGTAAATATAAAAGATAAGATGCTGGTGAGTTTGAGCTGGCTGCAGTAACACAATCTCAAGATATGTTTCAGAAAACTAAGACTAGAGTTCCAAACTGTGTATCATAATCTACTCACAAAGATTAAACTAGTTAATCTCTTGAAGCTAGTGAAGGGAGAGAAGCTCATCTATATAATAACTCTCCACAAATCAGAACAGATGGTGACAGCAGATCTAGATCTCCAGATACTGAAAGCCTACCACAAACTTGTGGAAGTGTTTAGTGACAAGAGAGCTTGAGAGCTGTCACTATACCACAAAAATAATTTGGCCATAGATCTTGAGTCAGGAAAGCAGCCAGAATTTGAAAGAATGTACAGACTTTTGCAAGCTAAACAAGAGACTCTTCATAAATATCTAAGCAGTATACTAATTTATAAGTTCATTCACTCTTTCAAGTCATCTGCAGGAGCACTCATTCTGTTTATGTTTAAGAAAAATGATGAACTAAGAATGTATGTAAACTATTATGATCTGAATTCAAAAATGATTAAGAATAAATATTTCCTACTACTGATTAAAGATGTGTTATATAAGCTTACAGAAGCTGCAATATTCACTCAGTTAGATATCAAAAATGCCTACTATAGATTGAGAATTTGTGAAGAGAATAAGTGAAAGACTGCATTTTGAACTCTACAGAAGCTATTTGAGTACTTGATAGTATCTTTTGAACTTGTGAATGCACCAGCAGCCTTCCAATCATATATTGTGAAGGTACTTAACAAATATCTGGATGTGTTTGTGGTAGCCTATCTTGATAATGTGGTTGTGTACTTGGCTTATGAGAAAGACCATGAGAAGCATGTGAAATTGATACTTAAGATACTCAAGAATGCAGATCTTTATTACAAGCTGGTGAAGTGCAAGTTCAATGCTTGCAAGATTAACTATCTTGGGTATATTATAACACCAGAGAGTATTCTTATAGAGAAGAGCTGTATGAACACTATTCTTGACTGGCCAGAGCCAATCAGTAAGAAAGAGATCCAGATCTTCTTAGAATTTGTGAACTTTTACAGGTGCTTCATTTCAAGATTCTCTAAGATAGCCTGCAGTCTGACTACTCTTCTAAAGAGAGGAGAAGTAAAGCTAAGCAGGTGTACATAAAAAGAGATAAGAAGAGAGGCCAATACTTTCATGACTGAGAAAGGTTGTAAAGTCTTTATAGATCTAAAAAGAGTATTTACAGAAGCTGTTATACTTCACTATTTTAATATGAAACAGAAGACCAGACTGAAAACAGATGCATCTGGCTTTGTGATGTGTGATATTCTATTACAGCTGGTAAAGAATGGCATTTGAGTTCCAGTTGGATTTTATTTGTGAAAGATGCAATCTGTAGAGATGAACTATAGCATTTATGATCAAGAACTGCTTGCAATTATGGAGTTATTTAGATATTAGTGCTGCTGGTTGAAAGACTTGTGAACACCAGTTCAAGTTCTTACAGATTATGATAGCTTGCACTATTTCTAGACTGCTTAAGATCTCTTGTAAAGACAGGTCTGCTGGACACAAAGACTAACAGTCTTTTGATTTACAGTTAATCATGTGAAAGAAATCAAGAATCCAGCAGATGGACTCTTGTGAAAATCTGATTATATCAAGAAGACTGGTCTAGATAATACAGAGGATCACAAGACTGCAAATCAACTGAAAATGATGCTTGTGAAGGAGCAAGAGATTACAGAAAAGTTGAAACTGACAGCCCAAGTTTCTCCCAACCAGAGAGAGAAGAGAGAAGATAAGAATGTGCAACTTATCTCTATAAAGCTTCAGATTGTGATCAAGAAACTACTTATAAAGATTGTCTTGAAAGACACATGCAAAGTAAAGAAGATTACAATACAGATTCAGAAGATTAAAGATCTGGTTTGTAAGAAGAATTCTTATAAGAAGAGCAGCTTTAATCTATTGATATTATTGTTAAATCTACTGCAAAGTAATGACTATGCAGCTGAGGTCCATAAAGACATTAAGATGGGTATGAAGAAATTCATGATGTGGAAAGAGAAGAAGAATATTCTCTATAGAGATGGTTGCATGTACATTTCTCAGAATAAGATCTTGTGAATAGAGCTGATCAGATATTATCATGATTTATCTCTTATAGAGCATTTTGCTACAGCAAGAATGTATGAGCTTATAGCTTGCAAATACTTTTAATCAAGAATAAGAGAACTGATGAAGAAGTGCTGTAAAGTCTGTAAAGTCTGCCAGAACTCAAGAAGAGTTTATGAAAAATTTCAAGAAGAATTATCACTCTTACTAATTTCAAATTACTCTTGGAAATCTATTAGTATAAATATTATTACAGATCTTCCCACAAGCCTGAATTTTGAAAAGGTGCAGTTTGACTGTATTCTAATTGTAGTGGACTGGCTAATAAAGATGGCTCACTTTATCCTTATAATAAAGAAGCTGACATTAGAGAAATTGGCTCATCTCTTTATTTACAAGATAGTGAGATTACACAGATTACCTGTAAGTATAGTAACAGATTGAGAATCTCTCTTTGTAAGTAAATTTTGGGGTAATTTAACTCATATCTTGAAGATTACAAGAGTAATAAGTACAGCATTCCACCTGCAAACTGATGGTCAAACTGAAAGACTAAATAGTGTGCTAAAGCAGTACCTGCAAAGCTATATCAGTTATAATCAAGATGACTAGATAATATGGTTGCCAATGGCAGAGTTTGTGTACAATAACTTATAGCAGATCTCCATACAGAAATTATCTTTTCAGCTGATATATGGGTTGAATTCACAAACAGATCTATTGAACTCTGATGAGTATAACTATATGTGCAAGAATTTAAAGAATCAGATGAAGGCAATAAGATTGCTCT